AGAGATGTGAAAATCCTAGTTTTTACAAAGGGGTATGAAAGTCAACATAAGGCAATTTATGAGGCATAACAAGGCCAGAAAGTCTCTTAATCTGAGCAGTGGTACATCATCCTCAGAGTAATTTGGAGTTTAGTATCTTACTCAAGGGCTCTTTATCAGTGTTTGTAGCCTGTAACAACAACCACCTTGCCCTTAATAGCAAATAAAGTGGTCTCACCCAATCCCAGGGATCAGACCTACAGAGGCTGCTGCAGTAGTTTGCTGACAGTCAGTGTCACTTCCTCAAGGCCAACCTTGAAGTTTTGACAAGATTAAAAAATTGCACTGACGTCATCATCTGCGCGGATGCCTTTACGGCCATGATGAAGGAACCCTAAATCCTGGGCTCACACTGAGAATTAGACTCACTGCCTGCAGTGTTGCACTGCTGAGTAGGAAACATTGCAGAAAGGAACAGGTGGCAGCACACACATTACTGCCTACGTCCTCATGCCAATCTGAACAGTCATTTCCAGTGCCGCTCATTTGGTTATTAATTCTGCCAATGGCTACACATAAAGTGATAATAGAGTTAAAATTGCTTTAATGCCTTGGTTGCAGTCAGGACAGGGGGAGGAGAGGTGTTAAGTGTGGTAAAAGATGGGAAGAGGAGATTTTCAAATGAAACATTTTGCCATGTGTTATGAATTTTCATACAAGGGGTCTGTTCTGCACTAATATTCACAGCTACTTAATTTAACAACATGAGGGAAATGTGCAGATTTAAATCATGCTTTTAGACAATTGTGACTGTTTGTATCCATTGACACTGACAGCTCTCATGTAAGACCTTTTTCAAGTTACCAAGACATCCCAGCTGTTTAGGTTGTGCTGCTACGGCTCTTCATTTTGCTGCTATGAATATTTTAACTGTATAACTGTTGTTGGGGCAACACAAAGGTAGTTTCAGCTGCATATTCATTACTTATGAATATTTTATCTCTCATTTCACCATCTTTTAATTGATTCATCTTATCTCTGTGTGAGTGCGCTTGTGTGTCTGTGTCTGTGTGCACACATGAGAGTATGGTATGTTGTTTTCAGAGTTCAATTCTGCTGTCTTGGTATTAGCTTGTCTGACATCTGCGATCAATAAGGCTACATAACCTACAAGGTCAGCGTGCCGCACATGAGATTTTTTCACATGAGAAGCTGCATGAAACTACACAATCACAAATGGACTTTGATTGTCTGCAGGTTCACAGTTTCTGTTCTTTTTACCTTTAAGGAGATCACACACACGCAAATACGGCTTTTTATATTTGTTCCCCTTTCTCAAACACTGCATTCATCTTTATTTTTTTGGAACTATACACAAATATTTTCCACATGAGTATTTGCTGAAATAAATCAAATATCTTGCAGGAGACACATGGAGTTTCAGCTGAAAGGCACAGTTCTAGTATCCATGAAAACCCATCTTTGAGTAAATGAACAGAATTTATTATAAGCAGAAAAAAGTGTCTGAGAAATTCCACTGCTTCAACAAACTCGTGCAACCCAACAGGTGCTGCCTGGTCCTGTAGCGCCTCCTTAAATGAAATGTTTGCCTCCTTCATGAGAAAACGAGGCAGTTGGGAGTTGTGTTTGCTTTCATTTTGAGAGCATTAGAGGCTTATACGCGAGTGAACCCTGCAGTATAATGGAACAAACAACAGAGATGTCACCCGAGTGGGTTCTCTCCCATACTTTCCCCCTCCAGAGAGGGGCTCCTCCACATAAACACACATCATGGATGTTCAGCGAGCGTGCAGCCCGATCGCTGCTGGCATTTGTTTTCACACATTGTTCTCAAGTGTTCAATGAAAAGATCTATCCTGGGTGATTGGGATTTGGATATATCAAGGTCCAAGGTGCAGACTGCAGTATAGATTTTCAATAGTCTCGTCCTAATGAATGTTTTCACTCTTTTCTTGTCGATGACCCAATGATCCCTGCTCTTCGAATACATTAAAAGCAACAAAAATATTAGCTTGTGTAAGAAACAAACATCTGATTTTATCTTTAAAGATGTGCTTTATTTGCAATTAGATTCCAACATCAACACAACATGCAGAACACAAAACGGTCCCATCAGCGCACTCAAGAAAGTGCAAAGACACAATCAACCCCAACAGCTGGTAACAAACAGCCACTCCGCACTTCCCAAGTGTTAACTTGCACATTTGTTGGTGACAAATGATGCAGAAATAGTGTGTAAAGGCAATGTTTTCTCATTATGGCCCCTATGAACAGCGGTAGATCTGCTTGGCTCTCAGATTTTCATGGATGATCATTAGCTGGTTAAGGGTGAACACATCTGTTTCCCAACGCCTTCCCCCAGTGTAGCAGTCAGGATGTCAAACACATGAATAATTCAAACATCTTGATTAACATTAAGGATCTCTCAATGGTCAACATGCTGACTTATGAGTGTACATGGAATGGGAAATCTATATTATGAGTTTATACAAGGCCGGACTGAGCATGTGCGGAGCTCGACCCCACCCCACTATCACAAATTTCTATATCTAAAAAAACTATAAATGTTTAAAATAACAAATAAAACGAGTAATTAAGCAGTTGTATATAAATAGAAGGTTTAGTAGCATAATAGAATCCAGACAAAATAAACTTAACCCCAATGCAAGCATTCACTATATTTTATGATGCTAATTGCATGGCTAAGAAATCCATTATTCAACAAAACTATCAATTTTAAAATGATTTGATTTGATTTATTTTAAAATCTTTTTACTTCCTCTGTTAGAAAAAATCTACTTGGAGCTTGTAGCTAGAGCTGGGACCACAGCAACATTTGACAAAAGACTTCTGTTAATACTGCTTTTACTACCAACATTCAACTGAACATTTACACAGATGTTTGGCTCAGGAAAGGAAAACAGGTCTCCATGAATCTGCTCAAAGCCGACTTCTGCAAAATCTGTTTTTTTACCATCTTTAAACGCTGCTGTATTCCATACTATAGTCTGTTTCATGTTTACTTAATGTTCCATACTGAATTTTTCATCTTTCCTGCCTTTTCTTACCTACAGCAAACAGACTGCTGTTAATTTCATCAGACTTATTTCAAGCATTGACAAAATGACCACCAATAGAGTATGGGATCAGAGTTGTATTCTTAGCGTCAGTCATAGCAGACCTTGAAATGTTGTTATTAACCAATCAGAATTGAGCATGAGCTCAGGCGTGTTCATACTGGACAATAACCAACAACAACAGGATTCATGCTAAAAGGATTTTCTTTTCTTTTCTTTTTATTTTTTTTGAGTGTGCTTTTTTGTACTATTATTTCACACACTGATTCACACAAGATTAACTGATTCAACAAGCGTCTAGTTTTGGCATTTATCTGTTTTATACTCTGATTTTTTGAGATAGCTATTAGCATAAGGTCTTGGGGTGATTTTCAGTTTGAATGATGCTGCATCAGCAGTAATGAGGGCATTGTGCAAGACCATCATTGGGAAGAGGAAGTTCTGAGCCTGAAGGCAAATCTTTCGATTCACAAGTTGATCTACGTTCCAACCCTCGCCTATGGTCATGAGCTTTAGGCGAAGACTGAAAGAATGATACAGCAGCATCCGGAAAGATGTTGGAGTACAAACCATAAAGGTCATTCAGGCATTTGATTAGGAAGCCTCCTGGATGTCTCCTTGCCTGGCCTTCTGCCTCAATGATGTGTCCCTGGATATGCAGATGAAAATGAATGGATAGATGGGTAGGTTGTATCTGAATGCCTGGGCCTTTGGTAGATGACTCTGTCCAACAAAGACCTCCCACCTGCCCTCCATGTAGAAAGTCAAACCTTTACTTATGGACTTCAAGGACTGCCATTAGCAACTTTCATTGTGTCTGCTATTATTCATAACAGTACTGCTTTCATCAGAAATACACAGCTGTAAACTTCAAAATACTAAAATCAATTCTATCATATCATTATCATATCTTTAACTTCTAGGTATTTCTCATGTTTTTAATAACTTGACAGATAACCAGTATATTTATCTGGAAGTTATAATTCCCCACTGATTTTGTCAGTGGGCAAACACATTGTTTAAAGCCTTTACTCACCTCTAACCTATTATGATAGTGATATGTCATTCATATGCAGATTTAGTTAGTTTTTATTATCCTTAAAAAATCTGGTTGAAAAGGTCTTATGTTAGAGGTTAGTTGAACTAAAGTTTCCGCACACAACACAGTATAAAATCAATCCATCCCCATGTGCATGTAAGTAAACAAATTCATTCTTCAGCGTAACAAAGTCAGGCGAGAGTATGCAGACAGACATTTGTACCCACACATTTACAGTATGCCCAAAGGAAAGTGCAGAACAACACAACAAAACATTAATGCAGCCCTTAGTCACATATTCCCAGTGTGCACGTGTATTAAAGTCATTTAACATTTCAATTTAAATATTCCCCTCGGGCGCCAATAGTCTCGCAAGCTGCCTTTAACACTGCTAAGTAGTGATGATGTAACATCTCTTCTTCCACTGCAACACTGATATCACACACATCCTCAGACACACTCGCCCCCCTGGGTCTCCAGTCAATAAATGAAGGCAGTTGGCTTGAACGCACTTATCGTTCAACATTTATTCCCACTCCATCTTCATTTAGTGCCCATCATGTTATTGTTATCTTGTTGGTTAACAAATATGAATCATCAAACTGCCAGCACAACAGAAATTTTGCTTTTGAAGATCTCATTCTGGTCCTCTACAACAGTTAGTCAATTAACATGCATGCAGTGAGGGTTCTCTCATCCACTATGAAAAACATGATGTGAGTTCTCTAAAGTCCCGCTCCGATGTTTTGTTTTTTTCACTACTTTAAGTGTTATCAGTGGTCTTTAAATTGTGATTATAAACTTTTTGGCATAAATCACGTTAGCTGTGTGATTTTCAAGGGCTTTTCTTCTGCAGCGCTCCAGTAGCTCATTAGCAATTCGCCTCTGAGTTGTGGGCGGAGACATAACAGCTCTGCACACTCCTCTTCATGCTAGCTTGCGTCCTAAAATTGCCGGTGTGGTAGAAGAAGCAGGTAACATAGGAGCTATTCAGCTCTCAGACGCCAATGTCTTTAAGGACATGATGAAAGTTAATATCATAATTAGCTTTCTTACGAGCATTGCAATCTGCTAATGTACACGCTTGTTCTGCGAACGTTCTCTCTACATTTTAGAGTGTGGCCTGCATGGCGGGGCTCCTGGGGGTAGAGCTTGGATTTGCAATGCAGGAAATCTCGCTGTGTCTGAGCCTGCCGTTTGGGTCTGCCAGAGATTCATGTCCACTTGAATGCAGAAATACTTCAAAATGCAATTTTGCACTTACTTTTCTTGTGATATGTCCTGTAGCATCAGAAAAAATGCCATATGAACATGAAGACAACAAGAAAAACACGATCTTCATCGGAGTGGGTCTCTAAAGCACTCTTCCCCTGATAGAGCATTGCTTAGCACAACTTTATTTTCTTCTTTTCAACATCCTTTTCTTCACTCTAGCACTCTTCTGACACTGTAAAGTAAGGTTGGTCAAATCAGATGCTGCAGGAGACCCCAACTGTTTTCCACCAATGGGTATAAAGAAAGATCTGACATCTCCAGGTCAATGTGCCCACATGCTGGGCTTCAATATAAAGCAGCTCATAATTGGATGATTTTATACTGTGAGCAGTAGTTCAGCCTTGTATTATAGATAATCCTTGAAGCACTGCTAACATTCACACTCTGATGATAGTCTCGCAATGGCAAAAGGACAGTCAGTCAGATGGCAGTGCAGAATTTCTTTGAAATGTTGGCCGTATACATCAGAAACCTCAGTAGGTGTGAACCACAGAATTCTAATTTCATCCTAACATTTTTTTTTCACACAGAGTGCATTAAATTTGCATTCTGGCCAGATTCCTGTCATCTAGAGGAAGGACAAGACTTCTTTATTATATAAATAGCATGCTTCAATCACAGATGCAGATCATATACACTCACCGGCCACTTTATTAGGTACACCATGCTAGTAACGGGTTGGACCCCTTTTTGCCTTCAGAACTGCCTCAATTCTTCGTGGCATAGATTCAACAGGGTGCTGGAAGCATTCCTCAGAGAGCTTGGTCCATATTGACATGATGGCATCACACAGTTGCCGCAGATTTGTCGGCTGCACATCCATGATGCGAATCTCCCGTTCCACCACATCCCAAAGATGCTCTATTGGATTGAGATCTGGTGACTGTGGAGGCCATTTGAGTACAGTGAACTCATTGTCATGTTCAAGAAACCAGTCTGAGATGATTCCAGCTTTATGACATGGCACATTATCCTGCTGAAAGTAGCCATCAGAAGTTGGGTACATTGTGGTCATAAAGGGATGGACATGGTCAGCAACAATACTCAGGTAGGCTGTGGCGTTGCAACGATGCTCAATTGGTACCAAGGGGCCCAAAGAGTGCCAAGAAAATATTCCCCACACCATGACACCACCACCACCAGCCTGAACCGTTGATACAAGGCAGTATGGATCCATGCTTTCATGTTGTTGACGCCAAATTCTGACCCTACCATCCGAATGTCGCAGCAGAAATCGAGACTCATCAGACCAGGCAACGTTTTTCCAATCTTCTATTGTCCAATTTCGATGAGCTTGTGCAAATTGTAGCCTCAGTTTCCTGTTCTTAGCTGAAAGGAGTGGCACCCGGTGTGGTCTTCTGCTGCTGTAGCCCATCTGCCTCAAAGTTCGACGTACTGTGCATTCAGAGATGCTCTTCTGCCTACCTTGGTTGTAACGGGTTGTTATTTGAGTCACTGTTGCCTTTCTATCAGCTCGAACCAGTCTGGCCATTCTCCTCTGACCTCTGGCATCAACAAGGCATTTCCGCCCACAGAACTGCCGCTCACTGGATATTTTTTCTTTTTCGGACCATTCTCTGTAAACCCTAGAGATGGTTGTGCGTGAAAATCCCAGTAGATCAGCAGTTTCTGAAATACTCAGACCAGCCCTTCTGGCACCAACAACCATGCCACGTTCAAAGTCACTCAAATCACCTTTCTTCCCCATACTGATGCTCGGTTTGAACTGCAGGAGATTGTCTTGACCATGTCTACATGCCTAAATGCACTAAGTTGCCGCCATGTGATTGGCTGATTAGAAATTAAGTGTTAACGAGCAGTTGGACAGGTATACCTAATAAAGTGGCCGGTGAGTGTACATCAGTCATATCTCACACTCACTTTGTCATCTTCTATATGGGCTTAAATATGCTCTCTGTTTTTCAAAATTACAAATAATAAGAAGAATAAGAAGAACATTATTAATCCCCGAAGGGAAATTCAATTGTCTGTTGTCTCATATAATATATCTCTAAAAGTTATCTACTATTTACACAAGAGTTATACAGTCTGATGGCTGTTGGCACAAAGGATCCTCTGAATCTTTCTGTCCTGCAGCAAAGAGAGAGGAGCCTTCCACCACCATTGGTCCTTTGGTCCATCAAGGTGTTGTGAAGTGAAATTCAATTCCAATGAAGTTTGGATATTGTGTAAAACCTGAATACAAACGGAATGCAATGCTTTGCAGATCCTTTTTGACCTGTATTCAATCAAATATCACTGAAAAGACAAGATATTTGATGCTGTGATAAAGTGATAAACTTAATGTAAGTACATCTTCAGTTGTTCAACAGTCTGGGGTCTCCATTGTCATATTTAGCACTACCTAATGTGCCACACATTTTAAGTGGGAGACAGGTCTGGACTGCAGGAAGGCCAGTCTAGTACCCCCACTCTTTTACTTCAAAGCCACACTGTTGCAACACGTGTAGACCACCGCACACTTTTCCACTTTGCCTCAGTCCATCACAGATGAGCTTAGGCCCGGGGAAACCGATGGTGTTTCTGGCTGTTGTTGATATACGGCTTTGGCTTTGCATGGTAGAGTTTGAACTTGCACTGCTTGATGTAGCGACAAACTGTATTAATTGACAATGGTTTTCTGAAGTGTTCTTGAGCCCACATGGTAATATCCTGAACAGAGTGGAGTCTGTTTTTATTTCAGTGCCGCTTCAGGGATTGAGGATCACAAGAATTCAATTTTGTTTTTGGTTCTTGGTGCTTATATGCAGAGATTTCTCCAGATTCTCAGAATCATTTGATGACATTATTCGCTGTAGATCATGAATCCCGAAATTCCTGCAATTTTACATTCAGAGAAGTTGTTCTTAAACTCTTGAACTACTTGTTCAGGCAGTTATTCACAAAGTGGTGAACCTTGCCCCACCTTTGCTTGTGAATGGCTGGGCCTTTCAGAAATGCCCCTTTTATACCCAATCACAACCATCACCTGTTTTTAATAAACCTGGTCACCTGTGAAATGTTTAACACAGGTGTTTCTTCAGTTTTCCTCAATTTTCCTCAGTTTTTTGGAATGTACTGCAGGAATCAAATTCAAAATAAGTAAGTATTGGTAAATAATAATAATAATAATAATAATAATAATAATAATAATAATAATGATAATAATAATAATAATGATAAATAAATAAAGTTTGAATATTTTTGAATTTGTTTGAATTTGAAATATCTTTTCAAATTTTTTTTTATTCATATTTTACTCTTGTCCTAATTTCACTGGACTTGGGGTTTACATTTTCTCCTTGGTGCACCCTCTAAGAATTCTCCAAAGTTAGTGCTGATTTTGAAGAGGATTGGTAATGTTTGGCTAAGGATTTCAAAATAAAGTGTTTTCTGGTAAGGCTGAAATCTCCCTGAGGACATAAACGGTTCATTGAAGGTAATCCAAGTTTCTTTTCCAGCCTCAGTTGCTAGGTGGAAGCCCAGGCAGATCTGGCTCTTTGAAAATGTAAAAGCTGTTTGCAAAACTCTGTTGGATGAACAGCACAATATGACCATCAACTGCAAGGTCAGTGAGTTCATATATTATGTAAAAACACCCTACCTTTATGGCTGAATTAACTTCACAGACAGCACTGTGGAAAGGGAAGTATACTCAGAGGCTCCCTCTGGTGTTTAACTCCAATAAATAAAATACTATATGTCAGCAGCAGCCCCTGCAGTAGAGACTTCAGAAGAATATTTCTTGCCAAAAGTAGCAACTGCAAAATTCTCTCATATCTCTCTCCTTTTTGCTGAGAACAAAACACAGAGGAGCTGCAGTCGAAGTTCAGTTTTTCAGCAATTGGCAGAAATTCTGTTTCATGCTCAAATGCACCTCAGTAACAAGGCACTATATTTCTACTGGATGAGATTAACACTTTGTTAAAAATACAGCAGAGTGCCCAAAGTTATATTCTTCTGACCAAGTTTAGACTGCATGACTGGACCTTTAGTTTCATCAGTCATGATATTTCCAAACCAGGTGAAATCAAAAATGTTTTTTGAATATGCCTGATCAATACTAAAATAAAAGGAAAAAATGTGAAACTGCTTCACAGTTTCTCAGCCCAAGACAGTATATCTGTGAAAATGCTATTTCTGGATTGTTTTGCTGCTTCCCTGTTGTGCAAGGCCATTTGTGATGTCACTAGGGGGCATTGTTATACCACAGGAGGAAAGATACACCACCTATAAAACATACATCTATTACCATAGCAACCGGACTCTGCATTCCCTCCTCTGTGCAGTATATTTTTCACTCATTTTTTTGTGGATCAAATACACAGAGAGCAGAGGTCAATGTGCAGTGGATTAGGGCCGTACATATTGATAAAAATACATTCTCATGAGTTGTTGGACTCAGCTGTGGAATACTAAGTGTTCAATTTGTGCAAAATGCTGTTTCTCCTCGTACGGTGAAAGAACTTCTATTAATACATACCGAGACTCAAACATGGAGAGGAATCTATAGAGTTCACTTGACGGCAGTGAAGTGCTTCAAGCAAAAGGAAAAACACAACTTGAGGTCAAGATTACAGGTCAGCACAGCACAATGGCCTCCTGATGGGTGAAGATGTGGGATCGCCAAGCCTTGCTGTGGTCCCTCTCTCTGTGTAGAGAGTAATGTCAGAGTTCAGGACACAGTGTTCACTCCAGGTTTAAGTGGTAATTGGAATGCAAGCTTTCTGCTTATAGTCCTACAATTAAGTGTGACCCTTGTGGGAGCGAAGCATGGCACAGACAACTTATAGGAGTGAAGAGCTGTGTTGATGGTCCACATATGGTGGATGAAAGCTCAGTATTTAAGTGTGTTTGCAAATTCTTAAAAAGCCTTGAATTCAGTTCAAAGTCTTCAAAAAATAAAAAAATAAAAAAGACTCATACCCCCTTAAACTACCTTTTGGTATTTATCTCTGGTGTAAAATGTAAGTCTTTTAAATTTTGAACACTAAAAATGAACACTGGCATTTTAAAAAGACACCAAATTCATCTTATTTTGCTCAATAAGTATCCAAATTTTACACCTTTTTCTCCTTATATCACAGTCATATTTTGTTACAATAGTGCTGTCCACACACCACAAGTTTAGAGAGAGGCCTTGCCACAATTTTCTAAGCCACACCTTGATGCAAAAGTGTGCCAAGAAATCAGAATCCCACAAGTCTGCTGACCTACAAAGTAAACAGGAGAGGAAGAAGAACCTCTGTTACTCTGCGATTCAGTCTTCTGATGACGCAGTGTTGGTGTGAGGGACACACAAATGAAATGATTGGTTTGCTTTGTGAAGTTGAGACCAAATGCAAAATGTGTTTTAATGCCACAGACAGAATTTAATTAAAGGCCTTGGAATTATTCTGCAGCAGTGCCTTGAACTGAAAATGGTTTGTCACTGTTTTACAAAAGAACTAAAGACAAGGTTAGTCTGTGAAAATGAAGTAGAAATTATGAGAATTTCTTGCTAACTAAAACTTTACAAGATGGGACTGAAACCATGTTTCATCATGAATGATTAATCTCTTAACTATATTATTGATTAAACCAGTGAAGTCAAAAACTGTGTGAGAGGGTGTTTCCTCTTTGAAAAGACATAGTTGATTATTTATTGGTTATTACAAGTTATTCATTAGCTCACGTGTAACCTTACCACGAAACGTTGCATCAGAAAAGTGAATTTGGTTTAGAGATAATTAAAGCATCCCATTATCAAATACTCTGGGTTTGTTTCACCAAATCTAAGCATTTTTGTTTTTTTAACTCAAAGATGGTGGTTTATCTAAATACCTGCACTTCACATTCCCTCAGACACTTGAAAAAACACTTCAGATGGCAGAATGGTTTTACCCTGGCACTGTAAAATGCACGCCGCACTTCTCATTCTTGCCCGGTGTTAATGGTGTTTGTTCACTCATTGAGCTGATGTGCTGCTCTCTTCCAGCATAAGTATTAAAGTGAACTCAGAAGGGTGTGTCATTGTCAAGTACTAGTATATTTGATGTGTTTTTACCCAATCATTCTGAGTGTGCACGGGAGAAAGCTATTGAACTTTTCCATTTAAATTTGACGCTATTTATAACTTGTCACCTTTGAATTTGAGCTAGTCAATACAATAGAGAAGTGTAAAGTCATTCAGCAGTCATTTATCCTCTCCAGGTCTTTGGAAAGGGCAATTACCTGCATGAATGAACTGTGATTGTTATTCAAAATCACAAATAACAGTTTTACCATGTGTTTTTAGGGCTCTGTTTTTTTACCTGTCAGAAGTAGCAGTTAGCAGGCAAGAGCTTTGTAGTTAAGGGGACGGGGGACAGATTACCCCTATTAAAGAGGGGGGCATAAATAGGCTCGGTAGAGAAATGCAGTTTTTATTTTCTCTAAATCATTACTGTTATAAGTGGGTTGTAACTTGCTAAAAACATGATTCTGAACCCACCATCGGGAAATATGAAATCTGTCCTCTCTCTCTGAGGTGAATGGAACTCAGTCATTTTAACACGTTCAGTCACTATTCACAAGGACTAACTAAATCATCAGTATTATGTAAAATAATTAAAAAAAAAAACTGTTTTAATGCCAGAAGGGTGCTTATGGATCTTTGCATATGGGTCTTTATAACTGAATTCTTTCTCTATAGATTCATTTAAATTTCACTGTTAATGATTCAGAGACAAGTTCAGTTGGAAGTATTGTCAATTTCAGCTAAACATGAAGAGACTGATGTCTTGCTGACAGAAGGATTACTTATCACAGGATGTAAATTGTATCTTTGTTTACTTCTGAAGTTGCCAAGCTTGACAATTACACAGTTGGTGGAAGACTCTAATTCCAGAGCAGAAAACTTTTCGAGTCCACTTTGAAAGCAGGTGAGTGATCACAACAATAAAGTCCAAATAACTACCCAGAACAAGAATCCACAGCCACATAGTGAGGGACAGGGACCCAAAGTACCTGTAGCGAGGTACCACAAATAGAACAGTTAAGGATTCTTCCCATCATTATTTCAATACATCTCACTTACTAAATGACAAGGGGCAATGATAATACCTGTGCTAAAGTATATGGCTTTCTGAATGATAAGTGTGAACAGAATAGTGCACTCACTTATTCTATATTCCTGCTTACATATTAGTGGGAGTGTTCGTGAAAGTAGCATAAAGTAAACCGCAGATGTTGGGGATAAAAAAATAACTCTAGTTTGTGATTATTGTTTCCCAGTAATCAGGGTGAAAGTTAAAGTTACATCAGACTGTAATTGTGTAGAAGAAGTGTACTTATATAACATTACACATCTGTGATATGTGTAATGACAGGTTGGGCCCAGTTTCAATAGCCATAAAATCCCTGGTTGCGCCCCTGTTAGCAGGAAGCCTAGGTCACAAGCAAAGTAATGATACCGCTCATGCGCTTTGACTTCACCGTGATTGACACACGGCACGCGCGCGCTCGCGTGCACACGCCTACTAAAGTATTTCCCCACGCTTTGAATAAGCGCATATTTTTGTCAAAGCCTTCAGCTGCATTCCGGTTATAGTATATGACAGAAGTCATTCCACACGTGGAGTCACTGCGTGTCCTTTGACCCCCCTGGTTTCTAAAATAGAGAGAGACGACCTTGTGGAGACTTGAGTCATAGCTGCAGTTGTTGAATGCGCACTTTTGGCCGTCCGTCAAAGACTTTCTCACGTTGGGCGTCTGAGGTAAGGAGCCAGCAAGAGTTGACATGTTTGTCACATCATCAGCGCTGACTTGTTTCACGGACTAAAAGTTACTTCAACTTTTGGACACTTCGAAGTTCTCCTCGTGGGATTTCAAGACGAAACTTTGTCGACTTTTCATCTCTCCTGTTGTTCTTCTTATGGGTAAGTTATCACTTCTATCAAAGTTTCTGTCAGAAAAAAAAGCCAGTTAGCCGAGAGTTAGTCTTTGTTTTAAAAGGGAAAGTCAGAACGTGTACAGCCATCAGTGGCACCGGAGCATCACACAGCAGGTCCTATTTATCACCTTAAACCAGGTAAAGACTTTACCTCAGCGTAATGTGGTTCCTGTGGCGCTCAGAGGCAGAACAATCAAAAGGGAAACAGTAGGACTTCACATGCAGGTTGCTGTAGAAAAAGACTCAAAGCTGGCGATGAATAATAAAGGCAAGTCAGGGACAAAATGCCTTTCAGAGTTTTGCTTTTCTGTGTCTACCATTCAAAGTCTGTCATGGAGATAATAGCCACAACCTCTCTCCGGAGATTAGCGTTTTTATATGCATACTGTTGTTTCTTCTTTATTACGTTATTACAAAACAGTTTCTTTTTATTTCATAATAGCAGCTGCGTTTTATACTAATTGTAATCTCTTTCATGCGTTTAATATTTACTGGTTATCTTCTGCCAGCTATGCAGCTATTATTCCTGATGTGTTTGAGTGAATTACACATTCTCCCCCCCTCAGTGATTCCCTGAGGAGTGTTGAACTGTTTTTTAATAGGCGCAAAAGTAAGAGACTACTTTAGAAATCATTGCATATTTCATGCAACTTTGAACTTGAAAGGTCTTGTTGGTAATGGTTGTGATGTTTTATTGGATTCCCTTTTCCTCAAACTGGGCACATTTTAACCGTGTGCCTACAGCTGATTAAATGTGAATGCTACTGAGAGCTAAGGTCATCATTTACCATAAGTATAGTGAACAGATTTCCAAATTTGAACAAAGATGAGTGATCGTCCGGCTCATTTGTGTTGAACTCACTTGCTCACTTGTCTTCTCCCTCCTTCAGTAGTCAGAACTCCTGAAGTGAATGCAAATGCTTTACAGCGTGATCACATCTCTCTGTGTGTCTGATCTACTGTCCTGACACTCAGAGAGTGAAGAGGAGAGTTGGCTGCTGAGTTTCTCAAAGCTTTGGCCACACTCAGTCCTGTGAAGGCGGCCCATTCAAGCCCCTGCAGCTTTCTCGTAGCCAAATGGGTCGAGTCTCTCTCTCATTGTTTGACCCAACTTGACTGAAATGTGGTAATTGGGGAAGTCCTGGGATCCTCAGCTCCCCGTGGTGTTGTGTTGGGCAGCCTTTCAATAAATTAATTTACAGTACAACAAGTTTTTACATGAGAAACAGGTCAGCTTTTGATTAAGACTTTGAAAAACATCCAGTTATGTGTTTATTCAAGCATGGTGAGCTCTATCTCCCTCTGATTTGTTTGCTTTCATGTCCATGAGGTCATGCCATCTTCTATTCACATACAATTATCACCTGCAAGGAAATGCCAGAGCACCATGAAAACAGGTGCAGATACTCTCCTCAGTGGTTTTCTTTCAGGCATGCCATGAAGGGAATTCCCTTAAAACCTTATAACTGCACCCAGTTTAGTATTAGCAAAAGTCTAAGATAATGACTTTAGTTTAGCATGCTAAAACAAGGACCATACACATCTACATTTTTGTAATACTAAGAAAAGTGATGCTACAGAACAAGAGGTTGATTAATTTCCTTAACATATATTGGTAGAAGCTTTTTATCATTTTGTTGTATTAAATGTGAAGATTCCTGATTTTCTACTCTTTCATCGGTATAAACTAGCTGTCTGCATTTTGGATGGAAAAAAGTTTTACACTTTTGTCTGCAAAATGTTATAAAAAAGTTTAATATATCCCTTATTTCCCAGTAAAACAGAAAGTGGTGTTGCTACATGTTCTGTTCAATGTAACAAACAGTCCCAAAACAAAAGACGTCCACTTTGCTGTCATGTATAACAAAAGAAAATCGTTACATCTTTTATTTTGGAACTTGCAACTGTTTGGCAAAGTGACTAAAAAATGATTCAGAAACCAAATACCTGTCTATTGATTTTTTGTTGACTGCTGCAGCTCTGCTTGAATTCATCAGTCCTCTGAAAACACAGTCATTTCTAGCTGTGCCTTTTTCATTGTGCAGGTTTAATTCATTCTTTTTCTCAGAAAATCAGTGTGTTGCTGCGTGTTTTGACTAAGGGGTTCTCCATAAAATTAGATTGAATCTCCCAAATCCATTGCTCACGGCATTTTGTGCCTTATTAGAGGCACAGAAAGGATGATAAATTCTAAATGTCAGAAGGCGAGTGGTTTGTCTGAGTGCACTTCTTATGAAGCGAGCGCTTGGATGTAAACCGACAGTACATTCAAGCTGGAAATGTCATAATGCTTTGACACCATGAAATGGAAATCAAAACTTTTCCGGGCAAATAGCTCCCCAGTGGCAACAATGAGAGCACATCAAAGTAAGTGTCCAGTAAATCACTTTGTTCTGCTTCCTCCTCAGAGGTTGTACACAGCAGTTTGAGCCTGGGACAGGTATATCAAGCATGTGTCGCCACATGCCAAGTACGCTGCTGTCTCCACCTATCTACTTAGCCTTCCAGAGAAAAATACCAGATAATAGCTTCTCAGGAACCTCTGTAATTGTATAATTGAAGCCTGTCGGAGGAGTTTTACTATATTTACTCGGCAGTATGACTGTAGGTCTACAAGTGGCAAGCAACAAAAACACCTCCAACCCGTGACATTTTGGCACACAAGTATCATACAATTACTGGGTTATCAGGACACCTAATTTCTGGCATATTTACCCAAGAGTCAGCCATCGTAAATGTGTCAGAAATAAGTCTAAATTGCCGCCAAATGTGTAAGACTTAACACAGAATATATTTAGCTGCTGTCAGCATCTGAGTAGCTCATTGTTATCCATTAGAAGAATCTCAGCAGTGTAAGAGCCTTACCAAGCAGGGGGCAAGTTTCTTAGCCACTTAATCTTAGACAAGCTTGGGGGAGTAAAACTCAATACCAGTCACTCGTGCCAGCAGCATTGTATTATCAACATGCAGCAACTCCATGACAGAATATCACCCAAGCTAACAATCGAAATGAGTGGCAGCTAAACTAAGAGTGGAAAAAAATTCTTTATTTGGTAGCATCCAAAATAGCGCTAAAGCCCATATTAAAATGCAGATCTACAGACATATATTTCAACCCCAAGCTATCATAAACCAATAGAAGTTTGCAAAAGAAAGCAGCAGTGGTTGATTGGTGGAGCAGTAACATACAAAGCGCAAGAGTGATGAAAAGAAAAAACACAGTGGCCAAGCTGAAAATTGAGGAGTTATTTTAGGATTGTTTCACAGCAGTTAGGCTCTAAATAATCTAGTTCCACAAACATGCAAGAAAGTGAAGGGTTTTTTAAATTCGCTGCTGGGGTCGTGCTTCTGCCTAAATTCTATGGTCATGTCTCTCTGCTCCACCCTCTGTCACAGTCACTGCATGGCCTCATCTCCCCATTCACAGATTGGTTAATACTGATGTTTGATTGATCCTGTTGCCATCTCCCAAAGACACAATGCTGCATGCTAAGTAACTGACATCAGAGACATTTAAAGAATACAGAGAGCACACACTCTGCTTGCTCTTCTGCAGATACAGACACCATGATTACTTTTAGGAAACACCTATTTTGCCTTTTATCATTGTTATATTGGTGCGTCAACTATTGTCCATTTCACTGACTGTACCAACAGCACAACGTACAAGTTTATACATTTTTGGGGCCCAGGAGTTCAACTTTCATTGCAGAGGTATTGAAACTGGTAACATTTATTTATTTATTTTTTATCAAAGGGACAACTCAAGATTACGCTGTCTGGGTTGTAGATAATTTTGTGTCTTTCACTTCCAGAAGGTTTAACATCGTTAAATAAGATTATAAATTTAAAGTCATGGCAAATCAACCTCATTGTTGGAGATTTATTGACAGAAAAGACACAGTTAGAAATTGGTGTAATTAAAAAGCACAGGAGAGGAGCAAAGCCACATGAAATCAAAACATTTCATATGACAAGCATCACTTCATAAAATCAAAACGACAGGTAGCTGTTTAGTAAACAGAAGCATATTGTTCATCCCTGCAAGATGTTTTACTAATTTAGCCAGCTTAATAGGTTAAATATTTTTATGTGCAGAACCTTTTAATTACTGTAGAAGGAAACATTTCAAATGAGCCACCACCATCATATTTTGAAATCAGTCACTCAATTCTGCAATCAGTCTGTGGCAAACAAAACTAATGATGGAAATGCTGCAAAATAGCTCATACCCCCAGCAGGACGAAGCATGATTTTGAAAATAAAAAGTGATTGTGAGGGGCCCAATACTCACATGTTTTACATATCAATGGCCTCGGGGAGAGAATTCATGTGGATTAACTGTTTAAGCACTTTTAAGAAGATAATCTGCAAATACTGCATACGTGAATAAATTTAGCAGCCTGCGTACTTAGGAATGTGAGATAACAGCTGTCAGAAACATAGTGTCACACTCTGTCTGTGCATGTTTTCATGGGCAAGCTGAAATTGGCCCTGCATCATCTTTTCGTGATAGTTCAACACAAAAATACCTTTCATCACCTGCAACCAAGCGCAAAAAGAAAAGTAATGAAGAGAAAAAGAATCTAAAGCAGAATTTTTGTGTCTGATAAAGAATGGCAGGTGGCTCTTCTGCGTCTTTCCCATGCTCTTTCCTGCTGTGAGTATTAGTCAGTGTAGTAGTTCCCTGCCTCTGCGCCATAAAAGGACACGCAGGAATCCCTTCTCCACCTCTCGCTCAATAATTTAATGATGCTTGGGTGGCTTTGATCAGAATGTGGCCATGAAAGAGAAACTAAACGGCTCGAGCACTGATGTGTGTATTTGGTGAGGGGGAATTTATTGCTCTCCTCCGAGGAGAGCCGGTCCACATTTGGAATGCTTGTGAAATATTTACAGGAGTCACTGGCACAGGAACTTACCGCCTTCAATGCTGCAGTTTAAAATAGAGGGATCACTGTCAGAATCACTGATTATGTCCTCACATTGTGTATCTGGTCTGTCTTCCTGCTTACGGATGCTGACAGATTTGTCAGTATCAAACATTCATCCAATGACAAGGTTTAGCTTGTACCCCACAGAAATGTTTTCAGTAACTCTTTCCAGTGAAGATTCCAACAGTCTTGTTACCATGGTGCCTGGCTTTCTGCCTCTTAGCTCTGGCATGTCCTAACAACCAAGAGCAAAGGTCATGACCGCTCCAGCCGACAACTGTTTGGTGAAATAAACGCCCCTCGCAGGGGGCACAAATAACTTTGCACTCTGTCTGAGTTGGAGGAACTGAAGTTTCTCAAGCGGGCACAAGAGGACAGGGATGATCTGGCTTGGAGGGATATCACATATGCTGTCTGTAGACTCTCTTCACCCCTTAAGCCACACTCAGGATCTTGAGATGCCTCCTACAGCAAGTAAGAAACATACTTTGCTGGCACTTGACATGTTGTTTGGGACATTCATCTGTACGCCTTCTTTTGAACAGTGCCCTCACTGTTAAGTTCCCCCTTTTTGGGACAACGCTCACTTTGAGACAGAAACACGAAAATAAAATGTGACATATACAGCACATCTCCTTGTTGACAGCAACAGAATGTCCCGGTTACCAGACTATGAAGTAAATATCCTCTCTGCATGCGGTAACCTCCTCCAGGTTTCCGAATGCATTATTCCAAAATCTATTTTCTTTTTGGCCTGGAACCTGGAGAGAAGGGAAAACTTTCAAGGCTTGCTCAAAATCAGGTCATGTCATGCAATCAACATGAGATCTTCCCTTACAGCAGGCACATGTGTGTGAAAACATATTGACAAGAGCTCTCCTGTGTTTGACAGGAGTGAAGAATGTGACTCTGATGCATGGTCTCCATGTTCGTGCATGTTCTCCAGCCCTAAGGCTGGGATGATCCACATGCAACATAATTCTCACTGATTCTAGGTTAAATAGTGACTCCTTCAGACATCTGCCATGTTGGATCTAGTGCAATCTGTGATTTTGTAATACCTAACATATTTGAGAGAAGTATTCAGATCCTGTTCTTGAGTGAAAAAAAAATTACCATCACTCAAAAGATGGACATTTCAGTCTATTCATTTGGTTTTTATGCAGAGTATCATAGGGTTATACATTCTTAGTTATCAGGCAGAAGCAGAGTTGGATTAATAGTGCTTATTAGGTTGAATTCAATATAAATGCTTGAATTGTCAGTTTTCTTGAGGTTTAAGCTTAAAATTTAAATATGAATTGTAACCAGTATTAATATGAAATGTATGAGAGTTTATCCCCATTTACAAATTCTACATAAAGGTTGTCATTTGAGTAACGAATGTGATTGACACTCTGAAGGTCACTCAGTTTTTAGTTTACTCAATCCATCAGGAGTAATTCATCAGACCTCTATTAAAAAATAAAAACAAGCATTTCTTCTGCTGTAGAGGACAAATCTGACAGAGCTTGAATTTTTACACGTCTCTAAATTTAGCCATGATGATTGTAGTCCTTTTACTTCAAACATAACATCGTTAGCAAATTTATCACAATTAAACTGGTTATGGCTTAATACATTTAAATGAAGCCTCTGTATAATTGACCATCTGCTGTTGAGCTTAAACCAACTATAGATCAGAAAAACACTATACACCAAGTCTCCAGTAACCAAGAAATGACAGTGTTTATGTTCAAAGTGGAAATGCTACACAGAGAAGAGTCCGGGCTGTTGCTAACCAGTGGCTTCAATAGAAATAGAAAGAAGTTGGCATCCATTGTCAGAGGCATATCGCCTGTTGTTGTCAGATGATCATTGTTGAAGTTTGCCATAGAGATAAAGAGATAAAGTGCCTAAAAGGACAGTCAGTCATCATCTGTTGGACTGGATTGGGATCATACCACACAAGTTTGAAGTTTGTGCCACATCTTACACTTATTTCATTGACAACAAATCAGAAAACTGCTGTATAGATTATGGAAAAAAATAAAAAACAGAAAAATAAATGGTATGACAACTTCCAATGAATAAACCAGCTAAAATATATTCTATAAATTACAACGTATGACAAGGCAAGAAAAATGACAGACTTTAATATATTGAATTTGTCAATTAACTTGTAAATCATTTAAGTTTTTCAGTTCACAGTTTGAATAATCAAACTTAAGAGTAGAAAGGTTTGTGGTGTCTTAGGTGTGAGTGACTGACCACATGTTACAAATATCATCTTAGCAGCTTCTTTTATAATCATTTGAAGCAGCTGCCTTTTCAAAGATCGGCATTTTCCCCTACGGTGAGCCTGTTGCACAAGTGTTGTGTGAGCTTGTTTGAATTCCTACAGTGTGTCACAGCGATACATGTTATTTTACCGTCATCGTATTTTACCCATACTTTAACTCTCAAGTTCAGAGCTTTACTTTTATACACACTATTTGGGGATTAATGATGACCCTCGTACCTCAAGCACATTGATTTTGCTCATCTACTGCTGGTATTCCTAACAACCGGCCCTGAACTGAATGTGTGTCTTTTTCATGCTGCTGGAATTTGATTCATATGCTAATGAGCTGAATTCCCATGGATTTCTCTCTCCTGTGCTGTAGATATCACCCCAAATACTCTCTACCTCCCCCCTCCTGTGTTCTGTCTGTTTTTGTCTTTCCTTTCACTCCCTAACTTTCATGCTCTCCCTGGGTCTCAACCTTGCTCACAGTTATCCTACACAGGATGCTTTATATGGTAGTATGCAGTTCTACCGTTTTCTCTATTGCCTTCCGGCCAAGTAGAGGTTCAGCCAAATCAGCAAGCCTCTCCTCCTTTCTCTCCAGTGCTTCTCTTCAGTGAGCAGATAAAGAAAGAGGAGGCAGCTTGAAAGCTTCTGTTCAAAATGTCCATGGATACGATAAAATAATGGTAAAGCCTGTACTATACAACTCAGACTGTAATCGTCATATTCAGTTCAGTGTGATTACATGTCACAGAACTGAGTGTCATAGCAATAAATGATTTTCTAAAGACGGATCCAGATTCAGTTTTTGTTCTAATCAAGCAGCAACATGTTGTGTTAGGAAATGATGTGAAAATGAACTTTGAAGAGGGAGTTCAAGAAGGTGTGAAACTATTGAGGGGTAAAAAGTTAAGAAAAAAAAAAACACAACAGCAGTTCCTAAAGTGTCCTCTTGAGGCTGGCTTTAAAAACAGCAAAGCCATTACTGCCCATTTGAACATGTCTATTTAAACAAGATTTGACATGTTACCAGCCTGGTATAAAACGGATTTGTTCTCTGTACTTCTGTTTTCATGTAACAACTATCCAGATGATAAATCTGATATGATGCATGTCTTTTGTTTCTATTAAGACTAATTCGGCTTAATAATAGGTGAGGCTAATTGTGGTGACAGCTGGGTGCATAGTCGTTGTTCGCCAAGAGTTGACGTTCTGGTTTAACAACGCTTTAGAGAAGTCAACCAATGGATGGCATTACTAAGACTTCATCCACATTGTAACAGTCTTTTGTCTCTCACCCTAACTAAACTTGTGTTTTAGTGTAGCTCAGTTACAACACTGCATTATAACAGATCCTTTTTTTTTAATTTCCACAAAGCTCTTCTATCTCTAGATACCAATAACATTTAGAAAGAGCATTGAATGACTGTGTGGCAGTAGCATCATTTTTAGCCAACGCATAGGGGTGAGAACATGTTGTTTTAACATATATTTGCTGATGTGGGTGGTCATAGTGGGAAAGAGGATTTGGCAATTTTAATCTCTTTTTGTGTCCAATACAGAGCACAAATGGCTGATGGTCAATGCTGCTGATCTGGCCAACAATCAACAATTTTAGTTGAAGCTAAAAGCAGGCAATAAATATGACTCAAAATCTTCATTTCAACCTCTTCTGATGAAGAAGTTGAAGGAGTATTTCTCTGTATATTAAATGTTATTTTAAAAACAAGATTTCTCTTTTTTTTTTTCAGTTTTACAGATCTGTAGATGAACGATTGTGCCCCACTAGCAGAGGATTCAGAAAGTCCCAAAACTCTGCTCTATATCAGAGCCACAAATCAATTGCTGTTGTGTTCTTTGAATCTGATTGAAATGCAAACCAACAAGAAGCAGAACCACCTCAGTGACCAGCCAGGAGTTAAAATTTTATTTTTATGAGAGGGGAGTTCCCTCCTCTTAATCTTGGTGTGTTTCTGATGCAAGGGTCATCACTAATGTTAAGTCATTGGTCCCTAGAGGGGCATTTTGAAGCCCAACAATGGTGGGCACCACAACATAAATGCAGACTTAGCCTAAAGTTTGATCAACTTAAAGACTAAGAGGTGGAGCTATAGCATTCTGACCAACAGCTGCAAAAAAACTCAACTCATTTTAACTTCTGTTATACTCTTAGCCCTGATAACAATTTTTTTTTCTAAAAAAAAAAATTGTAATAATGATTCCCCATATTGTGTGCATAAAAAAATCACCAATTAGTTATGTACACAAACTTGTATTTGAACCAGACTGTTAGCATGTTTAATTCTATTGGAAAAGCTAGCCTTTTAACATTGGAGTTAATGAGAATTCATTCTTCAAGGGGGTACTTGATAAACTGCAGTTTTAGCAATTCTAAATTGGCTTAAATTTTTGATACCATCAGTTTTTACTCAAGTTTTTCTTTTTTCTTTTAACGTTTTCTTTTCATGTTTTTTGGGGGAGCGGTTAAACTGTACTTCCCTCTCCTCATACACGATAACAGACAGTGTTACCAGTCTGTTAAGTTGAATAACTGACACATTGCTATATGTCGTCTTTACTCCATACAGTCCCTTTGTGTGGGAAAAGAAGGTATTTGATAATTGTTAGGTAGCAGACTTGCCGGGTAGTTGTTATACTCTGTAATTTACAGTAAACAGGCTTCCGTTGAGTTTTGGCCGTGAATGTGAGAGCAGCCAGTCTCAGATTAATCACAGCCTGCCAACATGTTCAGTCTCTGTGTTGAAACATTTATGAACCTGTCCAATGTCTTTGGTTGTCATGTGACCCACCTGTTCACAAGCTGTAAGATGTCAAGCGGTGTGTCATCCGCATACAGATTGACTGGGTCACTTTGTCCCTCACAACATTTTTTTCTCTGCTATAGCACCCTCCTTCATACACCCGCTCCCAAACTTCCGACCCAACACAGTGGAACTCCTAAAACACTCTTTAATGGACCCTTTCAATAGGGAGCGCAGACCAGAACAAACACTTTCATTCATGATGTTCCAAAAATGCAAATGAAGCAAGGTCCTGACACTTTCACAGGGGTACCCTTGTCATGGGCTTGTGTTCAACAGCAGCGAGGCTATCACTCACACAGGGTGATGCAAGGTACAACTCCTATGTTAACTGTCCAGAGAGTAATTTAGACCCACCAAGTTGATGAGTCTCATTGAACACCATTGACCAAGAGCCATAGCCCTCTAGGTAGCAGATTAAGGGCAAACTGGGTAAATGCAAGAAATTGGAGCTCATGAACTGGTTTAGCTGCTATTACCTGCTGTATTTTGATGAGTATCAGTGGAATATTTTTTTTCATACTTACAGTCCCTTGTCAGAGCTTGTTCTCATGTGATAAAGTTTGATGAATAGTTTTGAAGGTGCACTTTGAGGTGACTCATGGGCCTTACTCTTTCTGACGTGTTGCAGCAGATGCCTTCAAACCCATTGATTGCCAGCTCATCATGACTAAGCTAATAAGTCATTTGTTGCTGATGAGCTTCTCACAAGTGTGAAGATTTTCTAAATGAGGTGGATGCCAGCTTGATTGCCTGTGCTTTTATTTTCCCACCAAGAATGTGGTAAATGTTGAGAATTTCAGTCATCATCTCTCTTCGTTCCACCCAGAGCTGCTAAGAAAATTCAGCGTTTCTTTATTCTGTAAATAAAACAATAAATCTAATAACTGTGTACTGTTACAGACTCACATGACAGTTATTAAAAGTATCCATTTTTAATCTGCAAAGATTAAGTTTGATACCTGTAAATATGACACATGCTTGTGGGTTTAAAGCCCTGGCTTAGACTCTTTTCACCCAGACACACAGCTGTTAAGGTAGAAATATCACTCTTCGCCCTTTTTCTGTTTTGTTTCAGAAGAAACTAGGCTGCAGGTGCTGGCCGTTTAGACTGAGACCCAAAAGGTTTTTTTTTCTTTTTACGGTGACAGGAAAATCGCTTCTTTCTCTTTTCCTTTTCTTTTCGTCTGCCTAGGGCTTGAGCAATGACATCCATAAATTATGTTTTCAGTGTTTAAAAGGAGAGGTGGGAGAGAACATGTGGGAGAGTGAGAGTGCTCACAATAGTGTTTGCATGCTACAAGACCAGACAGGTCTGGCCCTGAAGTGAGGCCTCACTTTACTTTATGTGTTTGGGCACTTTGGAGATGAATTTTAATCCCCAGGATGAAACTGTTATTTCTAAACATCATAAAATGGCATTCACCACAACCTGTCACTACTTATGGAGGGATCCCTGTAGCTTTGTGGGTGGCTATTATTGTCTGTTTTTTTAAAAGATAGGATGTTAGGATACCAAAGCTGAATTTGTTGCTAGTACCCTCTATTGTCCAAGATGGAAACAGAAAATCTAGAGACAAATTTATGTAAATGAATATGTGCCATTGATGCTACTGTTAATGGTATAGGTTTCTTGCAGCTTCATCAGTAGTTTGAGATCTGATTTGTTTGGCACAAAATCTACCAGCCATTTAATGTTATCAAAATGCTCTGTTATCTGTTATCAAAAGAATCTTAGTTTATAGTCTGAGGCTGATTAGAGCCTTCATTACAGCATGTTCTCCACAGCTGGCTTAATCTGAGTCAGTCAATAAAGTCATTTAATATTTTCAGCTTGTAAAAATAGTTTCGCAGTTGTAAAAGTAGTTGTGTATGTAAGAGGTAGTTATCATAGGAATTTATAGTAGGCTAAAACTGCAATGTGTCACCATGCTTATAAATGCAACCCTGTATCATGTCATTTCTGCACATGAGAGCGGGATGAGATGTTTGTTCAGGTCATTGTGAGTTCAGTTCTCAATAAACAGAATTTTTTAACTGAATCAGTGTGGTTTGAGGTTTAGTTCCTCTGCTGTGTCCTTGCTCAATAGTTTTGGCCTTTATTCGGACTGTTTTAGGAGTTGTGATAAATATGTTCCTGCAGCAGAAAAAACCCTTCTCTGCTGTTAAATAATGTAGGCACCCCAACATATTATAATGCAAAAGGACTTTTATTGAGAAGAGTTTGTGTTCATCAATTTTTAACAGAGCTAGTAGTGATTCCAGTTTGTACTGTTTGGCCTGTTATGCTTGGCTCAAGTCTGTCAAATCAAACCATTCCAGTGTTTAGCTCCAGACAGACCCAAAAAAAATGTGCTATAAGAGGTACACCAGCATCTCTTCAGTTTGTGTAGAGAATTCTGTTTTGTTCTTTATGTTCGTATTAAACTTCTTGTTATTTAATGCAGTTGGAGATCATCTTTTAGAGTGCCAACAGCGTACTTACAGGACCTAACTTAAATAACTAACATACTTAGATCATTGTAAATATCTTTTAGGTGATAATTTGATAAATATCAATATGATGGTCTTTCCTATAACACGATTCTTAACTAAGGGAAATAATTCTATTGAGGTCTGGTCAAGAAAACACTTAAAAATTTAATAACAATAAAACTTTTGCCCCAGTTTTCATATAAAAAGGTTGGTAGAGGCTAACTTTCAACAAAATTCAGAGACCTGAATGAGTAGACCGACAGGACTGGCTGTTTAAAAGCAAAATTTCTCAGAGTTGTCATGCTTCTTAAAAAAGACTTTTAAAACTTGACAGAATGCCACTTTTCTTCCTTCAGGATTATCCCATAAAACTAATTACCAGCTTAGTCCAGACCACAGAGCACAGCACTGGTCTCTTTATCTGCCTCTCCAACACACTGATGAACTGTGTAAGGGTGAAGGAAGGTGTGAAGAGGTCTCCTCGTGGCCTTGTGGTGTTTGAAGGGAGGAAGTTGAGTGTGACTGCTCGTCTCCACACTGTCGCTCCCTGTGTTTCTAGCTGTGGCAAACTGATTAAGCTGCTGAATGCCACTCTTTGTCACTATCCACTTCTATAAGGGACATTTTTTCCACTATGATTCATGTTGTCTCCTAGCCTGTCATTCAAAAGCCTTGTTTTTTTTTAAATTGACATTCATTTAAGTTTATTTTTCTGAGTTACCAGGAATATATTTTTTCAAGCGAAATGGTACAGAAAGAAGCATTATTTGTTTGAAATACCCAACCTTATGTTTTACGATTTGGCATCAAGAATTTAAATTTGTAGTTAATAGCGTGACTACTGTTTGCGTGCCAGACTTGTTTGTGTTTATGGAGGTAACGCTGAAATGACATTCCTCAAAGTGCTGTGTGCCAGCACAGGAACCACTTCAAGCTTGGCGGCTCTTTAATGAGGCGAGACACCTCCCTTAACTCCTAAGAGGCACATGTGCTCTGCTAAAGTAACATTTACATTACAAAATGCAAGAATGATGTTCCTGCCTCAGTGGTAGAACTAATTGTGCATGTTTTAATAATCTCAAAGCCAATGTGGTGTTTACAGTTTGTTTCAAATTCACTGTAAGGGTTGATCACAGGCACAGCTCATGTGTTTAGGTCAAAGTGGTGAATGTGAACGCTTTATAACCTCAATCTCCTCATGTGCATACTTTTTTCTCTGTTTTTATTTTTATGAGTGTGTAAAGGCTTATAAATATGAGCCACTACAAGCTTTGGCTGGAAACCTGTTATGCTTGTATAGAATGCAACAGAGTAAGCTCATGCCTCTTTACATAATACTTGAAGCACAGGTTTGGTTTGGCGTGGATGTGTTTGATGTGTGTCAGAGTTGTTTGTGTGAATTCCTGGTGTACATGATTACTGGCTTGCTGAAGTGCTTGAGGGACAGAAACAGAGTCAGACGCATGTCACTGCACCAACAAGTAAAGAGGAAAAGACACATTGACCTTAGATGTAGGGGCAATGTTTTGTTATCACTTTAACTAGTCCGAGACTTTGGCGTATTTAAAGTGAATTTTTGGGATAATTTGCTTCTTTTCTTCATCAGTCACTAAAAGCCAATAATAAATTACTTTTAAGTGGATCTTTTTTTCCAACAACTACATGTTTAGCATAATTCAATTATTAAAATTATTCAATTACTACTGTATTTTTTGGACATACATCAAACTAGAGACAGCACAAGGACTTTGCCAGAAACCAGTTAATGCAGTTAAGGAAGGTTTCGTGTGCAGGTAGTCATGAAGGATTGTGACGGAAGCCTTGATAGTAAGGCACATATGAAATTGTCGTATTCAGAAAGTAACAAGTTAATGTATTAAAATGTCACTCTGGGTGTATCCCACAGTGAAATGTACTCTTATCTTAAACTAGATAGTAGCCAAGGCTGCACAATATTATTAATCTCTGCAATTTTGTAAAAAAATAGTACACGAATTGTATTATTCACATAACAGTCTAAACTAAGATGTCATAATGGATTATGACATCTGTCATATTGACATTATATATTGTAGCTCAGCGGTGGAGTCTGTTATCTGTCAGCTAGAAGGGTGGTGTTTGATGGTAGCTCCCACTGTCACATGCCGAAGTGTACTTGAGCAAGACACTGACAAACTGCCACAGGTGACAAAGTAAGCAGTGTTCAATATGAGTGGGAATAGATAATACTGATAGTCCCTCACTGTAGCCTTCTCTACCATCAGTGTATAATTAAGTAAATGTGATAAGGAGTGAAAAAACACTTATACTGTTACAGTGAGTTTTTCTGTACACTGTAAGTCCTTTTATATTTACTTTATCTTTAGATCATTTGGTAAGGTTCTTTGAAAGTCATGGCTGCGTGCATGTCGACTGTAGTTCAGCCCTTTATCACTCCTTTGATCCCATTAAGGTCATGTGTAGAAAATAGTTAAAATGTTTGTTTGATCTGGAATAACAAGTCTGCCTCGCTTTGCTGATGAGGTATGACTGAATCATCTGTTAGACTTACCTACACAGAAACTCAAGGTTCAGATTTACCTGGACACTGCAGGTTTTCTATGTATTTCTGACATCTGACTCAGGATCAGCCTTTTGACAGCAAGAGACTTGAATCCACATAACATGCTGAGTCGTGTACCCCTGAAAGCAAAGCTATTCTGCAGACAGTCTACCGAGCGTGTAAGCAGCTGCAGTGACAAGGTAACACTGATTACAGAAACATACACTCCAAGGCTGGCTGGCATTGATGAATATCTTTGTCCACAAGAATCCAGGCAATGTTGCGTTTTAGAAATAAAACAAAATAGAGAACCCAAAATGCAGACTTAAGAAGTATTCAACAAACAAAACTTCTTTTATCAAAGTACAAAATCAAAAATGTCATTTCACTTAAAATCTGTACAAAAAATAGTAAAAATAAAAAGCCACAAGGAGGTTAAAATTCACATAACTGGGAAAGAAACTGGGTACATTTGAGAGGATGCAGTAAACTGACATAGAAGGGAGGACACAGGGACTAAATACAACCTGCGCACTTAAACACAGGTTTCACAATGAGACACGGGAAAAACAAGTGGGCAGCACTCAAACACAAGCATAGGAAGTAAAATCATACAGAATAAGTAAAGGATAAAACACAAGAATATGGGAACCAAGTGAAGAAATACACAAGGAGTATAGGGACATAAGGATAATGACTTGGCAAAGTAGCAAAAGAAATAAGAGCTAAAACAGCTCAAATAACAACCAAACTACAACTCAGGAAACCAAACAAAAGCAACTCCAGAGTGTTACAGTAGCTGAGAGCTGACACTGTTTACAGGCAGGCTGTATACAGACTTGACAAAGACAGATATCAGTTAACTTTTTTCTCTGGTGATGGCTGCACTTGTTTTATCAAACAGACAGTACTTGTAGAGAAGCCGTGAAAAGGATTTCTTTTCCTCTGTTTTTACTCTGCAGTGATGTAGATATTGTTTTACACTACAACATAAGATCTTAATGGTACATTTATCAGTGCTAAGAATTCCAGCAATATACTTTCAAAGTCCTTATGAGAGTTACTTCTCCTCAAAGCCACCATTGTTTTGTCAGTGGGTTTTGAAATTTTTCTCTTGTGTCGTAAACTTCAACAAGGAAATGAAATGAGCAAAATGACACATAAGTATGGGATAACTTAACTAGTTTTGTTAAATAGTTTACATTTTTGTCATAATTCAACAGCCTAGATCTATACATGAGCAGTTTTTCTTCAGGGGACAGAAAATGGCTTTAATTACACTTTCTTTGCGATCACGTTTCTCTGAAACCTTCTGAATTTGAAGAATGAGACATTTAGTTGTTGAGACCATTAAGTTGGAGGGTGTCTGTATACTAAGCTGAAACAAAGTTGACAGGGAGAAAGCACTCCAGCATTTCTTCATCAGCTGAGTTGTCTGCAGGCCGTCTTCCTGTCTGTCAGTCTCTGCTGTTGTTTATGGATGTCTGAAGCCTTTTCTGTCACTGTTGTCATTGTCTGTGCTGTTGGCAGCAAAGCTTGTCATGATGTGTCTCTCTTTTGTGTCTGCATTCTTATGTCTGCTTGTTGGAAGCTTGGGTGAACACCCTTTGCTACCGTATTTATTGTTTTGAACAATGTATGAGAATGAAAAAGAAAGATAAAGGGGTCATGACCTTTGTTGTCCTTTATTACAGGTTTACAGTAAACACTAGGGTGTGTCCTGGCGGCCCTCTGTCCTTTCTTTGATTATACTCGTTAAGCACACACAGAATGTATAATAAGTATGGTATTCTCACAGCTATTTGAACCCAGTCATCTTACCCTGAAGTATGTCAAGCTTTTCTAAAGTTTGTTTGGAAGGTATGTTGTAAAAACTATGTATTTGTGGGCTTTGTATTGAGACTCAAGCAAAAGACTTGTTATTACCGGAGAGCACCAGAGAGGAGGGCTGCTGTGGAGGAAAGGCATCACTACAAAGGCACAAGGCAGTGCAACCTTTTCAGCTTGTCACCACAGGGGATTTAGATGTTATTGGAGACACAAAGTTGGAATTTACAAATGAGGGCTGTCTGTAGTTTGTTTGAGCATTCCTGTTGATTGAGCAGGCACAATGAAACTGGTCATGATCTAAAACCCTGAAAATTCTTGGCGAAAGCCACAGCATCCAAATACAAGTATGAACCCTAAAGCTGTTAGTCACTGCCTCAATTGCAATTGTTAATTAGAAGTTGTTGTCTTAATATGTAAATTCTGTATCTATATTTTGGTAAGTCATGAACACAAGAAACAATCGAAAGGAGAGAGATGAAATGATCCTCATATCTCATATCAACAACATATGGAGCTTAAATGACCAAAAGCTGTGTGTAGATAGGGCTGCACAATTTGGCCAAAAAAAAAAAAACAAATCCAGATTTTTTCATCTCTGATTCCATCTGGATTCCATTTTCATATTGAGTGACAATTTTACCAAACTTCATTTTAATAAGTTTTTCTATCATCTCTCATAATGAAACCACTGAAATTAATGTAGTGCATATGCCAAGCCAGGAAGTGGTGCTGTAACGCTGCCCAGGAAATGCACAAAAGACAGAAGAAGAGTACAGAGCATGTGCAGAAAGGTAATTTTGGCCGGACAGGTGCAGGTGCCATGAAAGAATTAGGCTGTGTGTCACATAATCATTCCCAGAGATGCAGATAGACATCCACATGGAAATGAAATGGTAGTCGTTTACGGATTTATGCACTCTCTGACCCATTTTCAAAAAGTACCGTTTACAGTCACCCGAAACGCTGTTTCTGTGTGGATGAAACGCTGATATGACAAAAAACTTTAGCGTTTACTCCTGAACTCTGCGAAGCCGTACCAATTCAACACAACTGACTTGCTCTTGCCCCTTTTAGCCACGAATGTATCGCCTTCGTTTGCAAACACCGTGTTTGTTTACACTGGTGGGTGTGGGAACTGGAGAGCGCTCTTACAGGAAGGGGCCTACAGTGGCCTGGAGGCGCAAGACATGATAGAGAGGAAAATGGATTTGACGATTTTAATTTTTTAAACATTGTCATAATCAAATAACCCGTTATGATTTAAAATCATTTCATCATGCAGCCCTAGTGTTGATTTCAGTGAAAAGCCGGAAACAAACCTGGATAAATGTATATGTAACATGAGAATTCCTTTTAATTTTCTATCTATCAGCTGTAGTTATGCTTGTCCTAGCTAGACCCAAAAACACACAACCAGGCGACTGTGTGTACATATTTTGAACAAAATACGTCTGTTAAGTCATGCCTCTACTATTATCTTTTCATTTACATTGATCTTTTGTGCACATTATCCCATATCCACATTGCGTGTCAACTTTAGAGTAAACATGCATGTCCGGTAAGCTTTGCCTCCAAGGTTTACCTTCTTTTTGTTTACAGAGGCCATGCTCTTTTAAACATGGGAAAGGTCCATTAGAAGTGATGACTTAAATAGGCTGCTTAATTATGTCCGGCCATCTGGACCAACGGTGGCTTTAAGCTGAAATGCAGGCAAATCTTTATCTGGTTTGAAAGTGGGCCTAACAATGGAGTACAGTACAAAAGTTATGTGTTTCCAATTAAATGAATTTGAGCGAGCAAGAACATTTGAAGACACATTTATTAGGCAGACTAAATGCGGTTAAGATTGTATTTCCCCCCAGAGCTTCTTATTGAGACCATCTTTAAAATATATAACTGTTTCCAGAATAGCTCCTCTCAGGGGTAAGACTTGTTCTACTTCATTTCAGCCTTTAAAATACCAAGGCTGTTAATGTAAACTCTCCTTTTCCTGCCGGGTGTTTGACCCTGCAGGGCAGTGCAAGCATTGCTCAGTTGTTATGGTCATTATGTCTCCATTAGGCTTAGAAAATTATGTTGTAGATAAAATCTCCATTATTCCTACAGTGCGGATCAGGAAACAAATTGGAAAACACTTTAAACTCTGTGCGGTGTCTGTTTTGCTACCTATACCACAAATCTCCTCTGTACTCCTTGGAATATAAATGAGTCTATTGAGAGAATTACAAATAGATAAGATCGGAGGCCTCTGCATAAATGGGATGTTTAAGTTGTGTGAGAGAAATAAAGACTAACACTCATCTCCAGATAAGAAACTAAACCCACGTGATAAAAGTAGGACTATGGCAAAAAAGTAAAGCCAAATCATGTTTCTGAAATGACCCAGTGGCCTTCTATCACAACATCATGTCTATTTCTGGCATGTTCTCCTATGCCTTCACCATCAATACCCTGCAGCGCTGGGTGGAAATGAAAGTACACCTTCACAAAAGCTCAGTCCCTCAGGGAGAAGATGACTCCCTTCTCTTTTCAATGGAGCAGAGACACATTGCATTAACATCATTCAGACGGAGCCAGTTGTAAATGGGTGTGCGTAGTTTGTTGAAGGATGGATGAAGGGATATGTGACAGAGGGAGGGAAAGAAAGAGAGAGAGAGAGGGAGACATGCCTGTACTTCCTCTCCTCCCATTCTTTAGTGCTCAGTGAGTAGCCCCGCAGTGCAGGCTTTGTCCCAGTCATTGTCACAAGCTTAGAGAGCCTCTTTGCCAAGTGAGAGGCTTTGGAGACATATGTCACTTCACCGAGTCTCCTGTTAGCTGCTTGAGTGGTGGGGCGGGCAGGGAGGCGTGTCTGTGCGCTAGCAGAGGAGCAGTGTGAGGTGGAGGAGGAAGGGCATGTCAGAGATGTTGGTTCAGGGAGAGTTGTTGGAATGATCCCTTGATAGTCCTGTCACAAACTTTTTCCTTTTTTTCTATGGACTTGTAGTGCAGCTTGGGCCACAGCTAGAGTTGGACTTGAGATGTGGAATGACTCTAAAGACAGTAAGTTGTGGTGGAAATTAGCTCCAAGTCATCCCTAACTTTGTTGCTGTTTATGTCTTTGAGAAAAAACACGTGTGCAGATCATGTGCTTTAATTTTCTGTTTGTTTCTTTGCATCCACATGTCAACAGTCTCTGTGTCAGTGCAGGCAGGTTAAGCAGAATCGTAGTAAGTGTGAGCTTAGGGACAAAGAAAGGGAGGGCTTCATTGTATACAGGGTGTGTTTGCAGGGATTAGTCATGTAGTAGTCACACTCGTCGTGCCCTGGCCAACTATTGGCTTAGTGAATACAATCCCTTTGGATTTGTGGCTGTGATCTACCATGTGCTCAGGTAATAGTCCTTTACTCTCAAAACAAATGCTCTGTTCTGTGTTTACACAGAGTCTCTATGCCATTTAAGGCTTGAATTACTTCTCCTTTTAAATAGTGGGTGTCAGCTTTGTTTGAGTTGTTATTAAAGGGACCAGTTAACAGAAATGAATGTGAGTATAAAGCCCAGCAATATGCCTTCACCCCTTAAACAGTTTGATCATACACCAGGCAGTGTGTTTTCTGCAGATGAATCAAAGTTGCCTGTTGGGTTGTTGCTGTGTTTTCAGTATCAACACAACTCTTGTGACACTAGCGGACTGTGGGTTTCCTACCTAACAAGGGCTGCTATGTTTTTCAGTGCGTGATTTATAATCAAAACATTGTCACAGAAGTTTTTGTAGTGCTGCAGGTGGTCTCTAATGCGAGGCAGTATCAGTGTGCAGCCTGTTTGTGAAATACTGTATACAAAAGCACCGGGCAAACAATGACAGCGGCTTACAGCTTTATTACAACAAGAAAATGTATGCTTGCTCCACTGGAACAAGCATCTAGCAGCTTTGTTTACCACCCAATCGGGAGGAGCAGCATAATCACAGAAAAAGTCCTTATTACAAATAATACTGTGCCTCAATCTCTCAATTTGTGTAATTGATTCTAAACTCAAGCAGCTTAATCCTGCATCTAGTCTGGCACTATTAGCATATTAACCCTTTTCACTAAGAAGGTACGGCACATGCAGCTTTGTGTCCTTGGGAGAACTCTAAGTAGCACTCAGTCATTGTTAAGCAGTGTACTGTATGACTGCCGGAGCTCCCCTGCCTTCATTCTCTTGATAGCCGGATTAGCTGAGGGGGGTGAACCCATTTGGCATTGCCTGCGCTGCTGCCACAGTCTCAGCACTGCGAGAAGTAAGCCGTGAAATTCTGACGAGCTTAGACCAATTTATAGTCTGCCATCTTGGATCTAGTGATTGTAGCACACAGCAGCTTCGTGCCAGTAGGGCATACTGTAAGCATGCCATGTGATGCCACCAGCCAGGCTTTGCAGTTCAAAGGGTAATCTCCAGACAAGTACTCTGCTGTGTAGCACTACAACATCAAAACAAAGAGGAACAACCGCCTCTAAATGGGCAGTTTACTTAAAAGAAGATTTTGCATAAATTAAGCAAAGAGTATCAAAAAAGAGGGAGAACTTCTAAATCAAATCAAGGATATTAAATGTGCTGAAATGGCTGACATGCATCCACTGAAATCAGAGGGAAAATGAAGTTCTTTGAATATTTGATTTGAAATTTTTTATTCCATTGCTAATGGTTTCTTTTGCTTCTCTGTGGCTGTACTGCCTTCTAGTGCTAAGCTTTTAGTGAATTCATTCAGTAAATGCCCTTTGGGTAATCTGCATTTTCTTGCAAAGCAGCATGAAGAACATTTTTCGAACCCTGAGGCGCAACATAATTGAAATGAAATCATCAAAACATTTGAATGCATTTTGCTTGGAATTGTCAGAACAACACAGAAAAGTATGCTGGTTTGACGAGCTTTTAGGTTATCAGATCATTTTTTTTTATTTATGTATTTGCCTTCTGGTTTTCTTCCCTTACTTTTGGCAGTCGTCCACATGTGATGAAGGGCCTGTTATCAGCATTACTACCTGAACTGTTGGCAGCATATTTAGAGCCAAACACAGACCACTCAATCAATAACACTTTCCAAAATTGGAACAGATACTTTGGAGGCCCTCAGGTGACCACTGGATGTGTTGACTTAGAACTATGTCTCTTTTCTCTTGGTTCGCATCCTTCAGGTCCTCTGTGCCTTACACATTCCAAGTGATGCCAGTTGATCTGCATCGAAACATCCTCCTGATCTCTGCTGACTCCATCAACCAGTGGAGGGGGATGAGGTTGGTGAGTTGCCTGCAGCTTGTTCTGCTTGTGGCCCTGACCTCCAGAGCTGCAGGCGTAAATATCCCTTTGGAAGGTAAGAGTGTCCTCATACTGATTCTAACTTTCAGCTTCTTTTCCAGTATGAAAAATTATTTTCCTTGACACTTTTTAAATGAATGAATGACATTTATTTTGGTTATACATTATGATGACAAAGCATAACAAATTGTGTGAATCTTAAACTACCAAAAACAAAATACAAAACAAAATATTATATATGTTCTCTCTGATTCCACACAACATCCTCCACACAACCATTAACTGAAAAAGGAGCAGGCTGAAGCCCAAAGGCTTATTTATACCTCTCCATAACAGACCATAAGATATCCTACAATATCAGCAAACAGAAAAACTAATTGAAAAAAAACTATAAATAAATAAATTACTATTACCCTAAATTATAGTCCTTATTTTATATTTTAAAGCTGTTTTGAAATTCATCATGAAGCGACACAGTTGTTTTCCATCATTTAGTTCATTCCATAGTTTGGCTCACAAAACTGAAAAGCATTAAATAATACTTTTCTTCTCTTAATTTAAAAGAAAAATGCTGAATACAAATGGGAAGGCTTTTATTCTTAACTCTAAAGAATATTTCCAATGTTTTTAGGTACCTAATATCTACAAATTTTAAAGTGCAAGACTGAATAAATGATTGATTTGTTGGTTCACAGTAACCCACTTTATTTATTATTCTAACTGCTCTCTTTTGAAGTTTAATTATAGGGTCTTTATTTGTTCTACAAGCACTTACCCAAGTCTCTACAGAGTTTGACATATATGGTATGATAAGTGAACAGTATAATGTATATATATATATATATTATTTAATTTTTAGTTCCGTAAAATAAAGTGGTTGCTCAATTAACAGTACAGACTTTTGTTCCTTTTGTCACTTTTATGACCTGGGGTTTTGTCAAACTTATGTTCTCATCTTAAAGTTTCATCTTGCTTAAGTATGAATGATGACAAAAAAGTAAGTTAAGATAATTGTTTGGGTCACATGTTGCACCACAAGTCTCTTTGTTTAGAAATAAAACTTTGCATTCAAGTCCTGGTGTTCTATTTCAGTTCCGTGTCAACATGAAGCACCTTGTTTGTACAGATTACCTAAAGTTGTTTAAATAAAACTTTGCCATGTCACTGATTCCTCAGCTCTGAGAGTGGCAGAAGAAAAGTGAGAAAATGCAAGCAGTAGTGATTCTTTCTGACTCTGTGGGCTTACTAGACAAGCTTACACAGAAAAGCTCCATTAAAAGTGTTAATAGCTAACATTTTTGTGATCATTTTCCTGTATTTGTCCTTGAATCACAGTGGAGCAGCCTCCAACAATTACAAGCAAAACATCTGGTACGATAATTGCACTTCCTTTTGACCCCAGCGTCACTTTGAAGTGCGAAGCAATGGGCAACCCACCACCAGAGTAAGTCACAACTCCATCGTCTGTGTCAAACCACTGAATCAAATGAATCATTCAGAAAACATCAATGCTTTCAGAGGGTGTATTAAGCGTGTCAGTCTTTAGTTCATGGAAACCTACTGTATATTTACTTCAACAGATACAGATGGACAAAAGATGGTGAAGATTTTATCCCTCCTCACTTTACAACAAACAGAACTGACCACACAAGTGGCACTTTTGTGCTTCACAACAAGCACCTCATCAATTTCCAGGGTAAATACCGATGCTACGCTTCAAACAAGCTCGGCACAGCCATGACGGAGGAGATCAAACTGATAGTGTCTGGTGAGTATCCTTCACAAAGAAGCGCTTAACAAGATGGCTTTAAAGAGCTCCTTAAAAGTGAATTATCTTTTATTGTTTTGATGATGAGATTTCCATTTTGTTTTGATGTCTTATCTTTTTTTAAAAGGCATCCCTAAGTTTCCAAAGGAGACAATGAATCCTATTGTTGTTGATGAGGGAAACCCTGTCATCCTGCACTGTCACCCTCCTGAAGGAGTTGCCCCACGTCAGATCTACTGGATGTCAATTGGTAAGCTAAGAACAGTTTATACTTGTGCTTATGATTGAACTCTCTGATAGCGACATGATGCCCCTCAAAAAATGATGTTCTTGAAAATTAAAAACATTGAAAGCCACTATATCACTTTCAGGTGAACAGCACTAAAGCCCTTTTAAAGTTAAATCATATTTTATTATGTTTTCTGGATAATTTTAGGGCATTTAGGACCTGATATTTCGTACAGGAAATCCGTACAGTATTTCTTTTGAACAAGGTATACTTGTCATGATCCATTAAACAAAGTCAACTAATTTACCTTCATTATTTTTATTAGACCAAACAATTCAACACTTTTTTTCACAACAAAAAGATGCTCTTATTACATAAAGTGCTATAATTGTTATCTTGTTCAGCTTTAATCGGCTCTAACATAAAGTAATAATTGTAAATTAACCTCAGTAATAATTAGGCCTTCTAAACAAAGTATTCAATTAGCAGCAGAGCATCCCAAAACAATGAATTATTTTTTTTTATCCACGGCCAAAAGCAGCTTTAAATCTAAAAAAGTGGCAAATGAAAAGAGTGAGAATAGAATGAAATAAATCCTTTACATGAAATGCCTCCACACACTGGATTTTAGGCTTACCCGAAGTGTACAGCTCATTCTCAGTGACAGTAGCCAGCGAGTAAGCTGGCGCTATGTTTGCTAACAGTCTGTTGTAAGTCCATCCCTTAAAATTGTCTGGGCGGCTTTTTTTGTTCTGGCCAACTTCTGGGTGTTTCTGCAATTTCACTGTAATGGAAAATAATAGATTTTTGAACACTTGGTCATCTTAAATCAATCGTCACGTGTCGCATTGTGATTCATCAAGGAAGCGATGAACTGGCCCACTCCTAGAAATAATCCTACGTTGATTTTGGTTCTTTAAAGTTGATGCACAGAACTGTCCCCAAAATTGGCCTATGTATTACTGTGAAGGTTGTCTGACAAGCATCTGTTTCCCTGGTTACCTAGGTGATCAGTCCTGCCTCATACAGTTTCTGTTGGTTACATGCTGCCACTCCAACATCTCAGCATTCCGACATCCCGCCATTCTGATGTCTCACCAGTCCGACGCAGCTTTCCATAGAAGGGGGAAGGGGGGGGTGCGCATTCACACCTGAAATCGGTCATTTAATCCCGAGCGTAGCTAGGCGCGCCCCACGCCGAACCCGCACAGAGGGCTCTGCGGCCCACCATAGCAGACGAGAGCTGTCGGAGTGACGGGACATTTGATAGCATGGTAACATTCCGCCACTCCGACAATTAGAGACCAATGTCGGAATGGCGGGATGTCGGAATGGCGGTTGCCCTCCGTTTCTGTTTGGTTTGTGAAATCAGCAACACTAGCACCTTGTTGAACAGAACAGGGAAGAGGCTGGAGCAGCCAATGATACGCTAAATAATCACTCTGTGTGCCTTTAAACTTGAAAAGCTAAACAGCCCCATGTTGCATGTGAGCTTCAGTGCCCGTGGCTAGCAGTAAACATACATATTAAAATCATGGTTTCTCTGCTGTATGCACATTCAATAACATAATAAAAATATTTGATGGGGTGGCACAGAGTTTCTCATGTAGGAACCGCATAATGGAAATCCCTGGTGGTTTTGAAACCATTATTTTGTCAAACTGCAGCATACCTTGAAACTGGAAACCTGCCAGTTCTACTGACTGCAGGAGATTTGAAGTATTTAAACTGCTGTCATAGCCTGAAATGCTCTGTTTGGTTTTAGTGGTTGTGGTGATGGTGGGGTGCTGAGTAGGGCATGCAGGAGGAGGATGTGGAATAAACGTGTGCAATTTCAGTCAAACTAACATGTTTACTTGTATTTAAAAGTCCATTATCATTTATTGCAGTCTTTAGGTTGAAATCTGTGGTGCTTGTTAGAGACCTGGTTTTCAGCTTTAGTCAGGTTCTAATTTGATTCTAGGGTCTCCTGGGTCACATGAAATTCAAGTTTCTGTATATGGGAGCCAGTATCCCAGTTTACTTTTATCTTCTGTCCACACAACAAGAGTAAAGGTTTGTCCAGCTCATTATAATCAGGATGTGTTTTTTTACGTAACTCACACAAATGAGAGTTGCTTCGCTTGATCATAAACAGAACACTGTGCATAGTAAATTGAAGACATGAAAATCTGTGTGTTCAAGTAAAGACTTCTGCAGAGGCATCGGAGAGGAAGAATGAACATTAATGCTCAGCCATGAAAAAAGTTGAAACCTTGATCAAATCAAAAGGGATGAAATTGCACACTTTTGGATGATCGCCCTCCAAAGTGGTACAAGTTTGCGTGGCATTGGCTTTTTTAAAATATTTTAAGAAGATAGACATACTGAGCACTTTGAGGCCCTGGCAGTTCAAGAGTGTCAGGCTGAGGAAGTATGAGCATGTCATTGCTCTGGAGCCTGGCCTGGTTTGCAACACACAACCCTGAGCTTTTTCATAGATAAGCTTTGAAAGAAGCAGGTGACTGTCCTTGCTCTCCGCTGGCCATCAATGTAGTCAGCAGTGACAAAAAGATGGACTGTCAGAAAAAGGTACACACTAGAGGCACACAAGTTTACCTCACATCAGAGCCCTTCTCCCCTCCACTGCCAGAGAAAGTGATTCTGTCTGAAGTGCTTTGTCAATAGGGACTGAGTTTTCTGACCAACCTCTTGAGAACTTCTCAAGCGTCTCCAACAAACCTGTCTGATGTGAAAAGTGAAATATATGTTTTTAGGTGCTGTGAAGGACACAACCTAGAGACATGAGGCAGAGTAGCTGAGAGCACTGGAGCAAAGTTCTTGTTTTGCAGTTCTTTTTTAATCCTTGTTTACATCCTTACTTTTAGTCTGATAAATTTATAAAAAAAATAGCAAATGTTTTAAAGGTTTAAAAAAATAATAAATTCATGAAGCTTGTCTGGAGGACACAAAGACTTCAGGAAAAACATTGCTCAGGCTGACATTACTCATAGGTGTAGCGACATTAACAGCATGTCATTGATACAGGTATGCTCTCTTCCAGGTCTCCAGCACATTGAGCAGGATGAAAGGGTTTCCATGGGCATTGATGGCAACCTATACTTCTCTAATGCCTTACAGAAAGACAGCCGGCAGGACTACTGCTGCTTTGCTGCTTTCCCCAAAATTCGCACCATCGTCCAGAAAACAGCTATGGCTGTTATGGTCAAGAGCTGTAAGTTTACAATGCAAAACAGGCTGTTTGACTTTGACTGAAATACATGCATCTCTAACTGCTGTAGCTCAGAGGTTTATTATCACATCAAGGACAGAATATAGTTCCAGGTGTTTTTTTTTTTTTTTTTTTAACTGTCATATTTAAGACATTCCTTACCGGCATACCAATAGCAGGGCTTGTCTCATCATGTTTATATTTCCTGAAGCTCTGCAATAACACTTGATAAAGAAACATGTGACGGCAAAGACAAATCACTGCTCCCGCTACCAGCATTGCTCTGTATTTGTTTTTCATTCCAGTGAAACGGGACAATGACTTTATCATCTCTACTACCAGTATTATTCTCACAGATTCTTCTTTTTTTTCAATTCCAGTGAAACCTGACAATGATTCAGCACAGAGCACCAACACTAGTGAGTGGTTTTCACACATTAGAGGCTTCTCTGAGTAAAGCAAGAAGGTTTTTAATAATCTTTAGAGGGAGTTGGTTTGAATGTTGTTAAAACTTCAGAAAATAGACTTGATATTATTCTGTCTGTCAATCATGTGACTGATTCATTATATGTACATGAGGTTGAAGAGGACCATTCTTTGTGTGTGTGTGTGTGTGTAATGTAGCTGAGGCCCCCCCACTGAGAATGCCTGGCCTGCTGCTGCCCTCTGGTGTTCAGACAGAAAAGGTGGTGTTGAAGGGACAGAGTCTGGAGCTGGAATGTATACCTGAGGGCTAGTATGTATACATGCTGCTCTACCACACCCGCATCAACATCTTCTCTGCTTCATATGCCATCCTAATCAGCATCTATTATAGCTGATAATAAGTCAGTGTTTCCTGTTACAGTCCCACCCCTGAGGTAACGTGGATGAAACTGGGGGAGGAAATGCCTTTGAGGGTAAAGTATAACAACTTTGGAAAGCAGCTGACCATATTTGCTGTTGAAGAGCAGGATGGAGGTAAATACATGTGCTCAGCCAAAAACTCTGCTGGAGAGACTGTCCACTACTTCGATGTAATAGTGGAAGGTAGGTCAGCACCAGGAGCTAATTATGCATATACTTGTGGGTGCATTTGTTTATGTGTCAGAGAGCAAGCTGCTGACACAAGGGTGGCAGTTGTTTTGGTTTAGACCAACGCAGCTCTTCTTAACATCTCCCAGAGCCGCCTAAGTGGCTGACAGAGCCTCCTCAGAGCCAGCTGACTGTGATTGGGACTGACGTTCACATACAGTGCTCCGTCACTGGAAAACCACCGCCAGAAATAACATGGAAGAAGAATGGGGAAGTTTTGAAAGGTGAGTTGGAACCACTTGAGCAGTGATTTTATACATCCTGTGACACTGTACAACAAGCAGCTATTACTAATGAAACCACACAACCCTGAGCTTAAGTCCATGAGCAGTTATAATGAATAATCTTCACAAGAAACATAATATGTTACAGAAAACAGGTGTTGTAGCTGCTGATGATCAATATACTGAAGTCGTGCTGTGGGGCTTGTGTCCCTGCTAAACCTGAGACGTGCCCTGAATAACATTAGCAGATAGCATCTCTGCCTTCCAATGATGTTTACATACATGAAAATAGGCATTATGCATTAATTTGGAGCTAATTGTGTCCCAAATATGCAAATGAGCCCCATTGCAAAAAGCTCTGAATCCAGTAACACTAACAGATGCTAACAGACAGGAGTTACCATCTGCTGAGAGTTGCTGTATTTGTGCTGGACTATCATCTCCGCACTCAAAAAACCAATACAACAATACCACCTATAGAGGACCTAGAGGTCTAAGGTTGTCTTTGGCTGAATTCTTCACAATTTTTTTGTAACATGTGAACAAGATACTTTTTACCAGCTCATTCAGGAAGTCTGCTGGATATGAACTGTAATATCAATAAGGTTGTCTGGTATCTGTCATGAATCAGCTCCAAAGCAAACTGTGAAGGACTTGTCCCTCTCCATCTTGTAAATGTGAATATAGTTAACTGCTGTCAGGATGAGAGTGCACAGCACAGCTTCGCGCAGCAAGTCACAGAGATGCTTTCATCTCATCTCAGTCACATTTAATATCGAAACTGGAGCAAACTGCATAGAGCTGCAGAGCTTTGATGTGAAACAGATATAGGGCAATTAATGTGCATTACTTGGTGCACATCATACAAGTAACTGCAGCCCACTTTGTAATTGTTTATTATGTGCTCACTGTTAGTCATATGATAATTTCCCTCATTCATAAGGTATTCCAGGGACTGTAAAACATTAGGAGTCAAAATGTCAATTTCTTAGTCATGCTGTTTTGAATTGCAAATTAGTTTTTGTCCAACCAACTGCCCCAATCTCATTAAAAACAAAAACAAAAGAAACATATATATATAATTGCCTCCTCATCTCCCTCCCTCTGTGTGTACTTTCCCCATCTGTAAATGCAATTTTGTTGTGCACAAGTGCAATGACAATAAAGTCCATTCCATACCATACCATACCATTGTATAACATGGAGAAAAGCTTTACATTTTTTTGCATCAATGCAGTCTGATCCAGAGGATTGTTTTTGCTTTCTTATTTGATGAGTCAACTCATCTATCCATCGAACAGGCAGCCTAAAATCACATGGTATGTACTTAAATGTCATCTTTCTGAATTTGTTCAAATACTGTGTTGTTATGATGCTTTCAGATGACATGAAACACAGACGAGTGATTGACGACACTGTGATGCTCCTGAAGGCAACACCAAAAGACAGCGCTGTCTACCAGTGTGAAGCTTCCAACAGTCATGGCAGTATTCTGGCCAACATCAACATCATGGTCATAGGTGAGGAATACAACAAAGCTGACACAAACAGCAGGTCATGTTTATGATGTAACTAAACATTTTTAAGGAAATGACATACCTGTTTGCTAAAAATGGGTCACAGATCCTTCAGATTTAGAGGGATTTATCCTGTCTGCTGCTTGGAATATTTGCCTGAGGTTTCATTTTAACCATGAAAAATAACGACAAACGTTTTTCCACCCTTCGATCAACCAATTTTGTTTGACACATTTGCCGTTGCTTCATCATGTTTTGGCTGTCAGTAGCAGAGGCAGATCATCCGCCACTATAAATAAGAATAAATCACATCCAAATTTCAACAGCTCCAAGATTTTATGCAATTCGTAGTGCTATATTTTCAACAACTTTGGATGTTACACTGCATGTAGTTCTAAGCTCATAGCTCCATATGAATGAGGAGATTTTCTCCCTGAGCAGAGGTTGGGTTGGATCTTCTCTGCATTTATAGAGCACTTCTTATCTAAAGCATTTCACAATTTTCCTCTCATTCACTAACACTCACACAGCAAGAGCCATGCAAGCTACTAGACTGACCACTGGGAGCAATTTATGGATTCAAAGCAGGGGATTTAACAGCCCAGTCCTCTGGAGAATGTGGAGCTATGGTTTTATTGTTTTTTGCAATCATTTGTTAGCATGGTTTTCTGGTTTCTCTCTGTTTATATGGGTCACTGTCTACAGGAGTGGATGTCGACTTAATAAAAGGCCCAAACTATAAAGGCTGCTGTCCTTTATGAGCATCTAGTAATCCATACAGTAGCTCTGTAGTATTTATTTTATCTATATTTCCTAAATAGTAGCTGGATTATAGACTATGTCCTGCCATTTTAGGTGACTTCTACTGTGATTAATGTGGGAAATCAGAACCTTTGATATCCTGAAATAAATTAAAATTACTTGCAAGGATACAAAAATGAAAATGAGTCTGTGAGTTTGGAAAAAAAAAATTCTTAATTTATTAATCATCCTATTCTTACCAGCTAACTTTCTTTAATTGGACACACCCTTTTGCCATAAAACTGTATGTTCTCAGATCTTTGGTAATTTGAACTGTTAAAATTTCAGCGTGATTCAAATTGGGTTTTCTGACTTTAGCACTTTTTATAAGGGGAAATCACACTTCTGGAAGCATTGTGAGAAGTCACTGTGCCCGTGTCCTTCTCCAAATTCATGTGTTTTTTCAGTCCCCTGCACCTTTTCCTCATGAAAAAGTCCTGTGTGCAATAACTTCCCAGCAGCTCTAACCTCTTCCAACTTTACTTTCCTCCTAGATTTGGCTCCTAAGATTTTGACAAGGGACAACCAGGAGTATGGTGTAGTACAGGGGGGTAACGTCATCCTGAACTGCAGTGTTTTTGGCTCTCCTCCTCCCTCCATCTCTTGGTGAGTGCTAACCAGGAAGAACTGGTATCGTTCTCTGTGATGGCTGACAGTGAGAAGTTTCACAGAACATTTTGACACATTATTACCGTAAGGCATCAAAAGTTCACACCTTCATGCTGCCTGATGTGCTATTCTACAGTAGTTTTTTTGCACATTAACAGCGCTGTTTCAACAATTTCTGTAAATTTAGCAGATGTCTGTGCTGCAGTCTAAAGTAAATATAAACCATAAAGAATACCATGCTGCAGTGACTCATTATATTAATTCCCACACCGCTGCAGGTATCTGCCTGACATAGTCTGATGTTGACACGTATGTCTGTTTAATGAGGTAATCCTCTTCCGTTCCTTGGAAGTGGGCTAATTGAATCCCATTACCTATCACCACACTTCTACAGCTGCACAAATGGGAAATAAGATCTCAGACAAAGCATGACAAAACACTCTTAAGTTTACAAAGACCCTGACAATTTTCAGGATCGGTTTTATGATTCTCTGACATAACATTTAACACAAATGTTTTCACTTTTATGGGATATTAAAACATAAAAAGAGAGCAAAAATACAGAATAATATTGAATGTGATAAACTTGAGATTAAAAACTGTATGGAAAACAGAAATCTCCATCTTCCATAGAGTTTATGTGAAGTGACTTCTGTGCAGATTTATTTCCTTTGCCCAAATGTGACGATAACCAAATACTTTTATGACTTAATGTAAAGGTAAAATTATGGCTCCCTTCCCCAGTTGTTAGATATTTTGTACAAAACTCTATAGACTTTAAAAAAGTTTCTCTTGCAGGACCAGAGATGGAACTCATGAAACTCTTGTCGGCGGACGCTTCATTGAACACCATAATGGATCTTTGCAAATCGTCAACGCAGAAAAAGACGACAGCGGGAATTACGTGTGCGTTGCAGTTAACCTGGTGGGCAAATCAGCTGTCATTGCTGTTCTGAATGTAAAAGGTATGTCAACAACCTGGCGATTGCTTTCTTACACAGGAGTTGTATGAGTCATTGCACATGATTAGCCATTACAAGACCAGCTCTCAGGAATAAAAACAGTTTGAGAATAAACTCCTAAGGGCAGAGAGGTTTTTTAGTTGTTGTTATTGATGTGAACTGACCCTTCAAAATGAATGTCACTACAATTGTTTTATACCCGACATATGAGTGAGCCTTTTGCAGGTTATTTGTTTAACAGAAGCTCTGGCTGGTGAGGAAAAAAATCTGAAAACGGTGGACTGGATAGTTGATGGAGTAAAACAGAGATAGAATAAGTGAGTGCTAATCTCTGTGTGGGGAGATGCAATGGCCACCCCTATATTTTCACCCCAGTCAAATAGTTTGGACACACATTACATAGAAGCCCAAGGGAAACAGCAAAATCTGATTGATTTTGATATTGGATATCAGTCTGATATCAGCAAAAAAATGAATATTGGATTATGTCGGCCCGCATCCAACAGTCTGTTCCAGACTCCACTCCAGCACCTCTATCTAGCAGCACCTGGATCCAGCACAACAACAGTGTGTACTAAGGTACTAACAAAGTAGAAAGGAGTAGGAGTGTGGCAGTATTTTTCATTTCAGTAGAAAAAACACATTGCAGATGAGGGCAAAACTTGTCATGCACAATTTTATGGAAATATCAGATCAATATCTGATACTGAAGGCGACAATATTGGTATGGAAGTAAAAAAAATGTATCGGGACACCCCTAAACTCAAGGTTGTAAGGCATGTAAAACTATTCAGAGCTGATGTCTGATAGGTGTTCTGTGGGCAAAATTCAATAAACAGTGCACTTAACACATGTTTGGTAGTCTCTGAATATAAATGAAGGATCTAGGCAAATGACTAGCCTTGAAGCTTATAGAAATCAAGTGACTTGTTGTGTTTAAGGATTAGTTCCAGCCCTATTCTCAACATCCAAATTTTGAATGAGTTCCCTTTGATTAATAGATAAATGATGCATAAAAATTATGCATTGGGCTGTATGTATGTATTTAGGAATATATTCTTCATGGACTTTACTCTTAGTAAAACTAAGACATGTACATTTTGATTATTCCTATCTCAAACCTTTAAAACAGTTATTATTAGGAGAAGTATTTAATACATTAAATAAGTGAACTACCCTTAAACTTAATCTGGGCCTTTCCCCCTTGTCTTTATCCTTATCTTAAGACCCCACTAGGATTGTAAATCCACCCCAAGACTTGGAGATCATCAGTGGGACCACAGCACAGTTGACGTGCCAGGCAGAGTATGATGAAAGCCTGCAGGGCACCTTTGAGGTTGCATGGAGGAAGGATGGGGAGGAGATCCCACTTTCCTTTGAAGAAAATACGAGGTAGGTGGCTGCGGTTTGATTATGTTTCCATTAGTTTCCAGGTGTGCTTGTGTTTAAGATTTGTTCAGGGTCTTTATCTTAATGCTGATGTTTGGAAAGAAATGCAAAAAAAAATCCAAACAGCAGGTGCAGAGACAGGAGATTTTGCCAGCCTTTTTAGCCACTTAATAACGTGACAGATCACCTCTGGTTTCATTTTGAACACTATCTACAAGAATTCTACTGTTTTAGTGACAGTTGTTGGAAATTTAAGTAATAAAAAAACAACTGCACACCACTTAATGACAATCTTGTACTGATAAAACTGAGTGCCTATTTGGAGATTCAAAAATTCATATAGATCAAGACCTGGGTAAAAGTGCATTATGATTTGAATAAAAGTCTCTTGCTTACTTTACGTTGTTGAGATGATGGCGAGGCGTCTTGGATCTTAGTTCCTGCGTACTTGTTTTGTTTTCTGCTCTTTTTCTTTGGAAACCTTCACTAGAGAGGAATTCCTAAACACTAGGCAGTCTTCTGCTGGAGTTTTTTTTATCAGTTTTCATGAATTCAAGAAGTTTTTCTGGGATCCTGGTCAGTGGAGCAGTTTCGCTATATGGAATTTGCAGGAGACGACCTGGCAAGTGAGCTGGAGTGCTCGTGGAGCTGTAAAACTCTTGAAGTTTGCTGACAACACCACAGTCACTGGTCTCATCTGAGACGATGAGTCTGTATACAGACAGGAGGTGGATCATCTGGTCCTCTGGTGCATTCAGAACCATCTGGAGCTGAACCAGAACCAAAGACTATAGAGACGACAGTGGACTTTATGCATTCAACCCCCTCACAATCCTAACAGCAATCCTAAACCTGATTCTGATTCGAAAGAGAACTTTTAATTTTTATTTTTTGAGACTTTGAAAATTGTCTGTGATGCTCACTAAGTACTTTCTACTTGATTTTTTTTACACTCCACTGATATATTAACAAATTTCCCCACAGGCTCCAATACTCTGTGGATGATGGCATACTGCAGATCATGAATGTTAACTTGAGTGATGAGGGAACGTACACATGCATTGCGAGAACCAGCCTAGATGAGGTTAATGCGACTGCCCTGCTCACTGTACTGGGTAAGAGAGTTTTGTAAATAATATAGTATAGAACACCATTTATTATTGACAACGTATTTCTTGAAAGGTCTGCTGTATACGTAAAGTCTGATAGAGATGGTGAAATTAATTATTGAAAGTAGTTGGTGGTTTGAATCAGGATAAATCCAGATAAACCCTCCATAAGTTCTGCTCAGTAATTTGAATGTTGTCATCTAGCCTTTAATTTTGTAAAATCTTGTATTTTGCAGATGTTCCAGATGCTCCAACCAATGTGGAAATATCAGAATTTGGTGGTCCTAGGAATGTTACCCTGTCTTGGGTGCCTGGAAATGATCACAACAGCTCTATAGCAGGTAACGTCAATGAGGAAGAGAGGAAGATACAAATCCTTAAAAAGGGGGCTGAGATTGTTGTCATGGTAAATAATTTAATGGGAGATGCTCTTACTTGGAGATCAGCCCATTAGATGTTGAAACAAGTGAATACTATGTACATTTAAAAGCCCAAACAATTGGTCAATTGTTATCGAATGCTATTTAATACTAAAATAATTAATGCTAACTTTTTGGGCTTCTCTGCCTGTGTAAATCCTGACAAACCCAGGGAAACACCTGGTCCATGTATAATAGAAAACTATAAAATAGAAGATTAATTTGCTAATTATTTTCTTCAATTGCTGCTGTGACAATAAACATTCCAATGTGTTCAAAATGACAGACACACCTCGGTGCACACTAACTATCCAGGATCTTTCCCGCCTTGCCTTCCGATTTTTACCTGGTTTTCTTCAGTTGTTACTGTACTCATAACACATATTTTGAACAATACTAAATACGCATTAGTACAGATTTGTGTTCAAATTAAAGTGTGATTCATCTTGGATGCAAGTTCTGTACATTGCTAACTGTTCTTGCGTCTCCTCTGCTGCCCAAACGAGCGTGAACTGATTCAGCGGCTGTGATCACTGATGACTGCTTACTTAAGTTCTTTAACAAGTGAGAGCTGCAAATAGCTGTGAAGCTGTGAAGTGCTGATAATCCTGGCACGAAGGCTGGTGTCTCATTTGTGCTCCAAAAAGAGACTAAATTATTTTTAGAACTAAGTGATGATGAGATTTTATCTCAATTGAAAAGTGTGTCTTCATAATGTTTCGGCTTTGATATGCTTTTATTTTCTCTGATCAAAAATTGGAAAAGACATGTTAGATAAAGATCTTTTGTTTGACTGAGATCAGTTATAGTCTTATTTGTTTAATTGAACATCTAGGAGCAACACACATCAGTTTTGAGGCCACCTCTTTTCAGACAAAATCTGTGGATCACACAGTCTGGCTACGCACCAGGTGTGTGTTAAAATATTCATTTAATGTAATTCATGTGCTATGGAAATTGCCAAAAGCACTAGCTGTGATTGAAATCATTCCCTCGTTTACCCATTAATTATTAGTGACAAGATAAGTAAGTCTGTTGGCTGGAGGACTGATATATTCAAGACACATGAATCATTACCGTACTTGACATGCTAACATGGGTAGTGTCTCTTTTTTCTATCTCATTTATGCATGTGTCTGTCTAGGAAGATGGACGAAGCTTTACATGAGAAGATATTTAGATATGATGAAACCTGAGCAAACTCAATTTTTGGGACACTTGGTTTTGACCTATGTGATAAGTAGAGCCCATGTCTCAGTTCAACTCCATACCCCTGTTGCTTATGAATTCCTATAAAAATTTGGAATCTGGAAAATATTAGCACGGCCTAATAACTGAAAGCAAGTGAGAGTGCCAAAAAAATGCCAACCAGTATTCTCTTACTTTAAATCTAAGCTGAGATACCCGCTCCTCCTCAATCCAGACAAATCTGACAGATATGAAAGTTATTAATCCTCTCATCTGACTACAAAAACACGAGGAAATCAACATATGAGACTAACCATATTTTTCAGAATGGTCATGTATTCCTCAGTTAGCTTTGTAATGGTACTAAATCTATGCTGTAGATACTCCATCAATCATGTCAGGTGGCTGTATTCGAATTTAAATGTGTTCTCCTTGCAGTTATCATTTTTTCTGAGGTTACAATTGCTTGTGCATTTTCCCCTCTCTCTTCCATGAACAGAGTTTATAGTGGAGTACGAGGAGAGCCAATGGGAGCCTGGCAGGTGGAAGGAGCTACAAAAAGTCCCTGGTAACCAGGCAACAGCCGAGCTGGCACTACACGGGCACCTTAACTACCAGTTCAGAGTTTATGCTATTAATGCTGTGGGACCTGGACCCCCTAGTGAGCCCACTGAGAGATACAAAACACCCCCTGCCGGTAAGACTCACTCCCTTTAATTAACGTTTTCCGTTGTGGTTATCTGTTGATTGAGAAAGCCTGCAAAGTTTAAACATTTGCCCTGAAATGCTCTCGAAGGTGTCGTGTGGAGAGAGAGTAGGCTTTGCCTCAAAACTTTATAATGGTAGGGGGGTGATGGTAGGTTATTTTTGTATCCAGCAAGAACAGCCTTGTTGTCAAGGGCCAGGCTTAAACAATAGGAAAAAGGACTCAAATGCAGAACAAATGATTTAAAAAAAAAAAAAAAAAAACTAAATAAAAAAACAACAAAAACTCAGAAAAAAAGAAAAAAATTCAATTGAAAAATCCCTAAGGCAAAATCCAACAAAACACACTGGGGAAAAATCACACAGAGACTAGGGACACAGTGAACCAACCAAGACAGAGGGGAAGACAGGGACAATATACACACACAGGGAAACGAGCAACAGGTGAGGTAAACGAGACACAGGTGAAACTCATGGGTGATTAACAAAGGAGGGAAAAGCTTGGAGGTAAAACTAGACTAGAAACACAAGGATTCAACTACTGCCCGCTCGGATACTACATGCTACTGCTACGTGCTACTGCTAGATCCTACTCCTACATACTAAAAACGTTGGCCCAATTCGGACACACTAGACGAGCGGTGGGGAAAGACGACCCCCGCAGGCAGAGAGTAGGTACTGCGCCCGTGCAGACAGTGGTAACTGAAGCCCCTCATCTGCGGGCCTGGCTGTAGTACTGCAGCTGTGCAGTTTAATGATGGAATAAGTGAGCTTTACCTCCATGATGTCGCCACTTGCTCATAAAATGATTACTTGGGCAAATATGACACCATGACATGACAAAGAGATACAACCGCACATTTTTAGGGCAGTGTGTGAAGTTACATGAAACTTACATCTGTACTGCTGCGGTCCCGCCTGCTGCTGCTGCTGCTCCGACATGGTGCGCGCTGCTGTGGCCAGCCGGCGTTCGCGACACTTTTAAATAGGCAGAGCAGCTGGTGGCGCTAGCATCACATGCGCTTCTACAACTTTTAAGAGGACGAAGAAGAAGCCCGCGGTGCATTTTGGGTCAGTAGCATGCCCGTAGGATGCACCGAGACCAACCTACAATGTGGGCGTGTCTAGCATCTGAAGTAGTATCTGAAGTAGCATGCTACTCGCTCCGGTGGCCAATTCGGACATGCTAGATACTACTTCGACTACTACTTCGACTACTACTTGGCAATTCGGACGCAGCTCTGGATTCAACTACTTTAAAATGAAACAGGAAACACTGAAAACTGATCTAAAGAATAAAACACAGAACAGGAGGGAAACGGGGTCAACTGAACACTCACAAGACTGGACTACAGGGGAACAGGAACAATAGGGAACAGAGACACTAAGGAAAATACACAAAATAATGCACCCAATAAACAAAACCAGGAAAAAACTAAATTTACAGAACACATCATGACATTTGTGCTGCTAAGTATCAGCTGGAGCACAAGTTGCTGCAGAACCATACTGGTTACTCCGGAGAAGATGGTGAGTTAAACACCCACTGCTTGCCATATGACATGAATTTAACTGTTTTGAGAACTAGTTTGATGATGTACCTTTATATGTTTGGTCAAAGAAACAGTCAGCTGAAAGTATAATGCTTGTTAATTTTGAAAGATTAAATATGTAATAATGATACATCTCCCCAAAGCTCCTGGTAGGAACCCAGAAAACATCAAGATTCATGGCCATCTTCCTCATCAAATGGACATCAGCTGGGAGGTAAGAGAGGGAACATATCCTTGTTGTACTCTGGGAGCCTTATTTCGGATTACACACTCATCCCTGCACTGCTCTGTTGTAGCCACTGTTGCCAATTGAACACAATGGACCAGGCCTTGAGTACAAGGTGAGCTACAGGAAGCTTGGGGTAGAGGATGACTGGAGTTCGAGTTTGGTCAAAAGACACTCCTTTGTCGTGAGGAACACGTCCACTTTTGTCCCCTACGAGATCAAAATTCAGAGCAGGAACAGCCACGGCTGGGGACCTGAACCTAAGGTTGTTACTGGTTACTCCGGAGAAGATGGTGAGTTAAACACCCACTGCTTGCCATATGACATGAATTTAACTTTGACTATTTGATGATGTACCTTTATATGTTTGGATGCAGCTTCCTTTAACTCTGCTTTTTTGTATTCAATTTTCTTATGGCCAAAGTAGCTATTATTTTTCTTGTATTTTATTGTGAACTAATTGCGTCATTGTATCCTATCAGTCATCTTTTGGCATTGTCTGCGGGAAAATGTGTCAGGTTAAGTTCCTTCCTTGTTTTTCTTATTTCCTGTGATTTTGACCCTGTGAAGGTGTGCAGTAAAAAATTTTCTCTTAGAAAGAGAGTGAAAAAACTTTGCTCGCTCCAGCAGGTGGCAGAGAACCTTTGTAGAGTAGTTGGATGTCAAATTCCCACTTGAGCCTGAAGCTGTGGGAGATTTGACTGATCACCAGGAATCTTGTGATTCTTGCCCACTGAGACACATTTTTCTCCTCTCACTAGCTTTTCCTGTGCATCCTTCCTTACCTTCTGTGAAGTAAAGTAAAATATAGCACATATATAGAACATTTCCATCTCATGTTTGATTTGTATTTGCCTCTGTTGTAAAAAAGAAATGAAAATGAAACAGCTTTGATCAAAGCTGTCTTTTTTTGGTATCCAGATGAGAACATATTTGCTGATCTAACAGCAATTATGTTTTTATTTACGATGTTCACAAGCATCGGGATCATCTCTGCAAAGCTTAAATCAAAAGAACAAGCTCCTCTGTCCTAAAACACGAGAGCTTAGACTTGTAATAATGTTCTTTTTCCTACAGCGCAAAAGAGATTTAGTTTTCTTTCAGCATCTTTTCATTTGATTGATGATCAGGCTTTTTCTCTCCATACATTTTTGTTGATAGTGTTTAAGAGTCTCTGCAAAGGTAGCCTGTTGTTTGCAGAGTGTCTGAGTTCCTGACCTTCCTCTGTGTGTTATTCAGTCCCTACTGCAGCGCCGCGGGATGTAGCAGTGGAGGTGATCAACACAACTGTTCTGAGAGTTAGCTGGACCCCAGTTCCACACTCCACAGTCAGAGGTCATCTCGGGGGCTACAATGTAAGTCTTCAAGAATAATTTCTTTCTGCCGTTTTCTGCTGTTCAATACAAAAACTTTCAAAGAAACAGAAACTTTGGACCGCAATGATCAAGTGTTTTTAAGCGTAAAATGTCTGTACATTTACATGAAAAAGGCTGGTACCAAGAGGGTAGCAGTGTATATGCAGATATATATTTATTTATTTATAAGTGGTGGGCGATATAGCCTCAAAATGATATCACAATATTTCAAGGCCATTTGTGATATCAATATTTGTGACGATTTGTAAAAAAAATTACAGAACATATCATTAGTAGCTGCTGCTTCCAAAAACAGTTTTTTTATTATTGGTGTTAACAAGGGGTCCAATTATGAAAATAAATTCAGATTTGCCATACATAAACAGGACAGTAGTTTATAACCCCTCCTAAAAATATTTTTTCCCATGTTTTTTAATTTAAATATGTCCTCAAACATAAAAGTGACAACATTGACAACATTATCCCTGTTGTCTGTTGTTACACACACGCACGCACACACACACACACACACACACACACACACACACACACACACACACACACACGCACACACACACACGCACACACACACACACACACACACACACCTGTTTGTCCTCTTGTAGATTTCATGACTCAAGAAACTCCCTGAATCCACTCACAATGTTTTCTCTTATGTGATCCTCTGGAAAGTAGCAGGTTTCAAGACAGGAGTTGTGCAGCTTCCAGTAGTAGTCTATGTAATGGACCGTTGGGCTGACATAAGGTTTGGAGGTTAGGCTTTACCACGTCAATCGTACAGGCGATTTTTTTTATTAAGTGTTTAAAGCCATCCTTTCCAACAGCCTAAATAGCATGTCTTTGGCCTAATAATATGTGACTGCTTCAATAATGTCCTGACCCCGTATTCTTTTTTTTTTTTTTTTTTTTCATACTGAGTGCAGCGAGTGTTCCTGCAATAATGCTCAATTAAGCCATTTGTTGACTTGTACTCTGAACACCTGAAGCTGCTTTCACGTCCTCATCATGTGCCTTCAAAGCCTGCTGTTATTCGGCCATGTGTTTTAGCTTATTAAACTTATTAGCTGTGTTAGCACAACACAACCATCCATGTACATTTCTTATTACCTTGAGGGCACCTAGGTTATAACCATAATCATTTGTTCCCTTTAGTCAGTTCACTCTGTACAGCACACACTGTCAGACATTTTCTCACCAAGGATCAGCCATTCAACAAAAATCAAACCCTCATCAACCCAGTAGGAAAGACAGAATGATCCACTTAAGGGGCTGTCACATCAAGATGGCAAAACCAAATAAAAGGAAGGTGTGATGATGCCCAGCCTGCAGCAGAACATTTATCACTCATGGTTAAACGATCTAGAAAATAGCATGATGTTTTCATGCTATGCTTAAATGTGCCTGTCCATAAAGAGGCAACCTCTGCTGTTCTGTGCCAGTGAGATGACCTCCAGAGTTCAGCCAAAAGCAGCTGTTTAGATAGAGCTTTGCCACTATCTGGATTAACAAAAGAAGGCAAATAGCTGGTCATGTAAACATGCCCTCTGAGTTCAAACTATATAGGTGTGCACTACACCCACAGGACCAGGAAAACCAGTCTTCTTAGAAGCTAATAGGCAGGGTAACAGCTCATGTTTAAAAGCCATGGAGCAATAGTCTGCAGGGGTAATTTCAGGCCATTGCATACATCCAGGTGTAATGCAACCTCAAAGCTATCCCAAGTGAACTGCATATATGTGGGATGCACAATGAAAGCATGAAGATCTCCAACAGTGGTTTTGAGGTCAAACAGGAAGCTGTGCAGTCATGTGTAAAATAAATTCATATCTGAAAACTCAACAGGCTTAAAAGCAGGACCACTAAGTCTCCAGAAAAAGAGTACCGGCACCAGATCTCACAAGGGGTCAAAGACTTTGACCTCTGTCAGTGGGTTTCTTTTGAAAATGTGTTTCAGAGCATTAAAGCCTGGTGTCAATCCATCAAAGGCAACTTGACAAATTTTGACAAACCAAAAAGACCTCTATCAAAGAAAAAGAGAGACCCTCATCCGACAGACTCTTAAGTAACACCACCATGTCCACATTAGAGAACCTGGAGTGTATTTCCTGTGACCACTTCCTGAATGCCCACGTTTAAAGGCCTATAGGCCTTAAGTGGATGATGCCCCAGACTCTCTATTACAGCTTCTGGCACTTGTGGGAAAATTGTTAGCTTTGAATTTGTACTCTCAGTAGATAGGTAAGAAAGTGCCTCAGTTCTGGGTGTGAATAATTCACCTTTTTTCACCTCAGAGAGATGAGGTCCCTACAGAGAGGAAACTGCCAGGGCCTCGCTGACAGCATGCTCGCTATCTCCTCATACCATGTCTTCGCTGGCCACTGGGGGACCACCAGGTCTAGGAACTTTTTCCTCTAGAAATCCTTCCCTTAATAGGCAGTATCATTTCCACTGGGGAAGTGGATACTAGAGTGTACTGGGCCATCCAAAAGGACAGGGGCAGTGGGTATTTACCCCCTAAGAAAAGAAATCATATCCCCCTCTACTCAGTTGTTCCAGGCTAGTGGAGTAGACTCTCAGAAGTCTCCACAGTAGGAAGCTGTCCACCTCAAGGTTCAGGTGGCCTGGGACATGAGAGACTATTAGACACTTGAAAATCCCTCCACAACAGCGATAACAGCAGAAGAGTTTTTCACACTTTAAAAGAAAAAAAATAATAATGACACGCAATGAACCCTATCAGAACTTGTTGACTAAATGGCAACACCAAGAATTCACCGGCTAAGTCTTTGAATACAAACTTAAAAAATAGCAGAAAGTATTAAATGGAAAGTATTAATGCAGAACTTCATTCAGCCCCAAACTGACTGACCGCTCCAAGTACTTTTATATTACCCGTCACTCTCACCCATTCACACCTTACTCATATACTATTATTACTATAATGGCAGAGGCTGCAACATAAAGAGCCAATCAGTACTAAGAAAATCCATTCATACACTGCAGGTGTATGGGAAAATTAGGGAAAACCTTGGCAGGTGGACTATAGGACCTGGAATAAAACTGCCAATCTTTGGATTTAGAGACGAAGTTGAAAGCTAGCTACTGGGACACTTGCTATTATAAAGCAAGACCTAACAGGAGACCTTTTGGTCCAGGTCAAGAAGGTTTTCCCTCTGAGACACTGACACAATCCGAAGGCTGTTTGGGAAGGTCTTGCTCCAGGCAGAATGTCCTGGATTGTGATTTGATCATTGAAGCTTCAACTGCTTGGAGCCTGAACTTGGAGGCATTACTGCTTTTTGAGGAGAGGCAGTGAAACTGCAGGTTTGCCAGAGTTGGAGGCAGCTTGGATTTCATATTGTGTCAAGGAATGATAAGCAAAGCCTCTGGCTGTGTCTTCCTCAAGATACTATGCCCAGGTAGTGCCAGGCAACTGTCAAAACAAACCTGCCACAGAAATAAGTTCATCTTAGGAAATGGTTCTGCTCCAGTCTGGAACTCCGGAGTGTCACAGGTGCCTCTGTGTCTTGACTCTGTATTGCCACACACACACCTCAGCTGTAGCAGTGACTGTTAACTACCAAAAGAAAAAAAATATATAGCTGAATCGAACTAGTCTAACTTCACAACTTAGAGATGTGTGTGATGGAAACACATATCTGTGGACACACATTCAGGCCAATTTAGGAAGTAAAGTGCAACACTTAAGTAAATCCACTGAAACTCTGGATCCTGTTTTCTATAGTTTAGTCAGTCCCCATGTAAAGGCGTTGTCATTAAAATTATATAGCACAGTCACCATTTGAAGTAGCAATTTATCACACTCTGTCACTTTAGGTAATTGGTACAAAACTTATCAGACTCAGAGGTGATGTGTGTTGTCAGATTTCAGATGCCTCATTACAGTGGCAAGCAGACACAACTTTCTGCTATTCCATATATTCTGTTTTCTTGTTTTATGTTCCTCTTCATGCTTCTCATCCTCTCTTCCCTCTCTGTGGTCTGCTCAGACTTGTTCAGTTTTCTCCTTTACTTTTATCTTACAGGTTCACTGGGTGAGAAAACAGAGTCTGCTTAATCCCAGTAAGATTTTGGAAGAGCGACATTCCCTGTCTTTTCCTGGGAAGAGGAACCACGCCATCGTGCCACAGCTGGAACCCTTCTCTGAGTACAGACTCACAGTCAACGTTTTCAACAAGAAGGGCAATGGGCCCATCAGTGACCCTGTGACCTTCAACACGCCAGAGGGAGGTGAGGTGACACAATCATACACAACACATCAGTCTTTGGCTCATTTGAATCTAAATAAATAAATCAAAACCCTACAGATAACAGGAGGAAAGTTTTGTACATGTTGGATCTTTGAGTGACTCTGGCTCAAGACAAAATGTTTTACAAAAGCTCAATCACACATTTACATTAAAGTCCCCATCTCTACCCAGCTGTACTTGGCTTATTGTATTTTTTTGTTTTCTTTTTTACTTCCATGTTCGTGCTCCACCATGCAGAATAAGAAATAGGCTGTTTTGACACTTGTCATATTTATCTGTCAAAAGGGGAAAACGTCTCTGTGCTCACCTTAAATCTATGTTGAAGGGATTTATTCACCAGAATGATTCATGACATTAACAATCATTTGGAAATCGACTATGTCTCAGTGTGATCTGCCAAAGCACGTCCACTGACAAAGAAGATGTGTATCATGTGTTAATATTTAAGACATAAAACAATTAAACATTCTATTCATTGATAATGCATTTTTCAAAGATGAGGCAGTAACAGATGTAAACAGGAATTTGTGTAAACAGATCAGACCACAATTATGATTTTATATGCCTTTCAACATGTCTGAAGGATAAATTAAAATGAAATAGCTACAGAATTGCATTCAGCCTCAAGACCAGGACTGAAAGATGGCATCAAAGCCTGCGTGATTCACAAAAATCCTTGTTAAAGGCTGCTCTATGTTGCAGCATTGTGAGGTGAGAAGGACACCTCTGACAGGGAAACTGCATATGCTATATCACCATAAAGTTCACTTTAGGAGTTTGGAGAAAGGTTAAAAAAAAGTGGGTGTAAAAGAAAAGTGTATTAAATTTTACTTATTTGGATTTGGCAGACACAATAAACTGCTCATGAATTCCCTTTTATGCAGAAGCCGCAACAATATTTTCCTTTTCATAGTTCCTCAGCAGGTGCCCATTCTGACCGCCTCCAACGCCCAGACAGACTCCATACGGCTGGTATGGGGCCCACCGCTGGAAGCAAATGGCATCCTCACTGGTTACCTCCTGCACTACCACCGCCGTGAGTACACACATGAAAAAAAAAACTGTCCAACTAATACACTATAGACCTTTGGCTCCATGCTGAGGTCTTCTTTAATAGATTTCTATTAGCATAAAGATAGTTTCTGTGGGTAAAGAATGAGAAGAGTTTTTAGCAAAAAAGGATAGGTGGGAAAGACAGGGTTGCAGAGAAAGTTTGGATTTGGATACTACATGGTGATGTTGATATGATAAACCTAAAACATAGTTCAAACTCTATCCTCTACTCTTCCTACCTTTCCTTTACATTTTGTGTTATCATACAAGACACTAGGTTGCACTGTTTGACACTGAACTCTGCACAATAGTCTGCAGCAGCCCAATTGTGCACCCTACTTAAGATTGTGCTTCGACAGTTTCCTCAGTGCTTCTTATCTGGTATCCTCCTGGACTACAGGTTCTTCTCAAAGAGGATCATTTATGCAGCTGCTGTTGGTACCTTCTGTATTAATTTCTTGGAGCGTTTATCTCTCAGAAGAATTTCCTCTTCCTAAAAAAAGAATAGAGAAGGAGAGAGAGAGAGAGAGAGAGAGAACGCCCCGCCTTTACGCTCGAGAACAGTTAGGGCGAACAAGTGAGTGAGGGGCTTTCATTACGCTTCCTCTGTTTTCAAAGCCTACACTGTCGTTGGCTGACATTTCTGAAATCTTTTGTGTAAAATGTGAAGGCAGAGACAGCCCTTTGCCGCCTCCACCAGCACCCACAGAGTCTGGCCGGCTCTTCAATACACTCTGTCCCCCTTTCCTTTCTGCCTTTTCCCATATCAGATGTCAGGCTTTACACAGATATTCCCACACAATGCAGGCTGTGGGTGTTGGAGATTTTCTAACTGAACTGATTCACCATGAAACTCAAGTATATTTGAAATGCATCTTTCTGTTAACTCTGTAAATGTAACGAGAGCTTTACAGTGAGTAAAGTATGAACGTGCAGTCGACTCATAAAAGGGCTGTGTAATTGGTCATTGTATAACCTTTTGATGTTTAAATGACTGTGAGATCTCCTGTTTTCACTGCTGCAAGCGTCAATTTTCCAAAGTAGCACAGCAGGCTTGGCACACGTTCAGTTCCTACCTGCATTTTTAACATTGGCACGGCAATGACATAAAGCAGGCAGGCGGGGGGAGTGTTGCAGGAGAGGTGTGTTAGTTTCTGCACACATACTGTACTTTGATCTATTATGCAAGTTTGGTGATCCATTATGCTGCTTGTGATTGTTACTGCTCTGATTTTCTACCACTGCTTCTGCCTTATGTTTTTTTTTTCCTTCTTTAGTCTCTTTGTGTTCCTTCTGCTTTCCCACCTGTTTTCGTATTTTTCTCTTTTCAGCTGTTTTTCAGCCTTTTCTTCATCATACCTTCTTCAAATCCTCCTCCTCACTTTCCGTCTCTTCTCCTCCTCTTTTCATCCATTGCTACTTGTTTACACTCTCCCTCCTCCTCCTCCCCTTGAGCTCTCTATCTCCTTCTTTCATCTCCTCCTGCCTCTCTCCGTAATGCATTCCTCCTCAGCTCACCTGTCACGACTTGTATCTGCTCCGTTCACTTTCTGCATGAGCTAGCATGACATCCCTTCATCTTCTCCCTCCCTCAGCCATTGACCCTCATTATAGCTGTGTTCTATTAACATACAACATGAGCCAACAGTGATGACTTTTTCTGTGTCTCTCCATCGGAGGCTCACTCATGCCTCCTGAACTGACCTGACATCTTTCTCCTTCCTCCATAGTTAATGAGACCACACTGGAGGTGGTTGATTCCCAGGAGATAAACATCACTGGGGCTGACACCTCCCAGTGGCAGCTCCAGGGCTTAGAGGATGGCAGCCTCTACCGCTTCCACCTCAGTGCGTGCACTCGAGCAGGTTGTGGACCTCCGCTGGCACAGGAGGGCAGCACCATTGCACAAGCACGTGAGTAGAAGAAATCGATGTACCTATCGTGGTAGCGGGTCAAGAAAGATATCATTTGGTTTGTGTATGAGAACTCCTCCAGTGTTACTGAAGTGTACAGCAGCACACTCCAGACAAGGTTGTTGCAATGTGAGAACTCATTCAAAATCACAATGCTTGTTGTGATTGATTGTGATGCGCTGTGATTTTTTTTTTTTCTTTTTTGCAAAACCGTTTTCAACAACAGCTTCCTTACATCCATCATGGATCTGAGGGCAACCAGTCAACCCTGATAGAGAAAATAAATAAACTGATGATGTGATAATCCGTTTATTTTATCCAAGTCTGGAAAATTTTTTGATTTGATTCCAAGCACATGCTATGCACACGGGAATAGGTACGAAAAATGTGTGTTATTACAAGACATGAATAGTCCCATAATTGAAAGAAATTGGTATCTTTATTATCTGATGCAGAGATTTTGATCCTTGTATGATTTTTCTGTTGCACATCGTTGCCTCACTAGATTTTTTATTCCTGAAAGCAGTTTGATCTCAAGCCATCCAGAGCATGTATCCAAGAGAAAATACTTTGATTAAATAAGTTTTTTTAAATATACATGTGTGGCTTATCTAAAGCTCAAGTCCAGTGATCTCTCTTTATAGTTTTATTCTAAAGTTGAGCAAAAGAGCATCTCCTGTTTTATCCCTTTAAGTACCATTTATAGTCTGCCGGAGATGAAAGCATGAATAAGCTTTGTGGCAGCTTGCTAGCTTAAGAGTGCCAGTGTCCTGGCAGCTTTTCCCACATTGTCTGAGTGTTTGGACTTCATCTAAACTTGATTAAATGAAAGAATGCTATTTTGGCCACTCAACAGATGTTCAATTTAAAGCTTAGTTCAAATTTAAAGATGTGGGCTTTAAATGTGGCTTCTGATTTGATCCAGAAGCAAATATTCTTGGATAGTGCAGCTCTCTGGCCTTGATGCTGAGAGAAAGATACAGGGAGAGAACTTTTTGATTACTTGGAGCCATGGAAAGATTTGATTCATCGAGTTCTTTTGAGCAGAAAGACAGAATGCAAGTGAGCTTTGGCTCTGCTGAAATGTGAAGTCGTGTGTTTTGTAAAGCTGTAAAAAAACACTCTGAAGACATTAACTGACTGAGGTCTAAAAAGTGAGAAGTTTGTGTTTGATTATCAACACAGTATTTCAATGCAAAGGCAAAAGGTGTCACTTCAAGAACTGAGAAGAAGACTTTAAATCACCTTCAGATAAGTGCAGACAAAACAGCTCCAACAAACAGACATTATTGAGGGTTATAAATCATATCCAAATAATGGACTGAATTTTTATTGCTGGGCTCTTGTTTGCCTAAAAATCAGACTGTAATGTCTGCAGCTTTGTAAGAGCTTGGTTTGAGTAACATTCATAAGAATCTGCTATACAGGCTGTTATTTTATTTTATTTTAATTTATTTTATTTTAGGGTTCTGAAAACAGCTCAAGGAATCCCAGTCTCCTTAGATACACATATTTAAACATTAAATACACATTCAAATCAACAGATATAACTAAAACAAGACATCAGACTGTGGATTTCCTCTCAAGCCCAAACAGTGTGGGGCAGATATTAAAAAAAAACATCACAGCTGCCTGTATTTTGAAGTCAAGAATCCAGGTGTTTTCATCTTCAGCTTTTTTACAGGCTTTAAAATTTTTTGATCTATTTGAAAGATTCTCCAGTTCTCCAGTGGAGTCAGAAGTTAAAGCAGAATTTTACAGCTGATCTAGGGATCAATAGTTCACTCCTGCCATAGTTCTTCTGATTATCCTCGATAAAAAAGTCTTATTATATATTGTTCTTCTCTTTATCAATTGATTAAACACTGACCCACAGTTCAGCTTTCTGCTGTCTTTTGGCAGCTCCACATGATCTGTATAGAGCTCAAATAGAGTTTATAAATCATGGTAATGTTCTGTCGCACAACTCTTTAATGACCTTGAGTGTTCATCAGGTTGTTGTTCAGGGTGTCATCCATTACAGCCGCAGAGCCAGACTCGCTGCGAGAATTAATGAGCTGATAAGTTCAGAGAACCAAACCTCTGCTGCAGCATCTCTGACCCTTTTCTCTGCAATGCTTTTCTGACGCTTGAATAATAACATCAACGATCAGATCTTACTTTTAAATATCACATTATATGCATAGTAAGATACAAGCCACCATGAAGTTCAGAGTAATTTGTATGATTTATTATTTATTAAATTCACCAAAATTCAGATAACCCAGGATTAAATATTAGACATTAGCTACTTGTATAATGAATGACAAATGAAGGTCCACATACTGGTCACAAAGGAAGTACAGGGAATCTGGACTGGGAAACTAAATGCAAAGCCTCCCTTCTTTCAACATCAGCTTATTTAACTATAAGATGTATGAATACATTTGATCACAGCATCATTTATTCAGTAATAATGTCCTTGACATTTGGAAAAAAGATACAGAATATTCATTTTTTGTGGTTAAAGTGAGACAGTCATGGTCAAAATTGGTGCAGTCCACTTCTATAAGTCTCCATTTCAGCCTCCCCATTTGACCACCAGGGGGTGCCAAAGTCAAAAAATGTTAAATCAATAGAGTGGTTTTAATTTGTATTTCCCATCAAGTATGGCCATGCACCGTCTCTTCCTATCTGCTCTTTGTATGACATTTTGAACTAGTGGTGCAATGAAACAGAGGATAGTTTTCAGCCATTCAGGTCAGAGATTGACAACACTGCCTACCTGCCTGCCTTTATGTACAGATCCTTTAACAGATTATATGTAGAACATTTCCTCCCTGTTAGTCCAAGAGAATACTGACAACGAGCTGAGCGGTTTCACGAAACACTTCTCCCTTCATTTCTTTAAAGATGAGAGTTCAGGAGGAAATGTTAGTCTACTCCATCTGAGTGCTGTCATAAAAGTTGCTCAGCCCTCTCTGTATTGGTCTTTGCTGTTAGAGGCTCTATATTTTTGTAGGTGGATGTCCAGCCTGAGAGCCATTAGCTACATTGTTTGTAAATCTGGTTGAGAAGAGGCTCAGTTGGGAGATAAAGTGGTTCAGTTTCTGAACACTGTCCTCGGGGTATGTTAGTCACAATGCGGCAGAGTAAATTTATGGATGCCAATAGCACGAAGCAGGGGCACGGTGAGTTGAGAGACGTTGATGAGGAGTGATGGAGTGACAGGGAAAAAATAGCAAGCCCAGGCTATCGAGTGTTTGGATTACACCTTTGTGTTTGACTGAGCTTTTAATTCGCATTGCCATTTAGTTAGGAAAACAAAGAGTTCTCAGTCACAGAAGCTGGTGTCAACAAATCACAGACCAAGATAGGAAATAAAACAGGCAGCCTATCAAAGTGTTTGATTGTTAGTATATGCATCCAAGTGAGTTTATTAAAAAGGTTTGTAATGCAAAGACAGTGGCTAATCATAAGAGACAGAAAAAGAAACAGACTGTGAGAAAGAGGGGCAGGAAAGCTAAAAGAAAAGAGCTAACTGCCAAGACTGTGGCAGACACAGAAATAATATCTATTCTTCTGCATCAGGTCTCATGAGATAACAAAGGAGCAAAGATAAAGCGGACTGCAAACATGACAAAAAAGCACAGAGTCACACAGGAATAACCAGCTCCCCCTGAGAATAAATCATTTGCTCTTTGACACAACATTTGAACACCCAGCTCGTTATCTCGAACGCGTTTGCTAACAGTTTAAACTTAATGTTTGAAAAGTTTATTTGGAAACATAATTATCAAGGGCTGACTTCAGTTTCAACGCAGCCCTGGATTGAATAATCAGAGCAGAACAGGCTGTGTTGGTGCACAGCAGTGTTAATTTTTTAATATGAGTTCACACAATATAATGCAACAGAGAGAATACAATATTCACACCAGGCAGTGTGAGACGTGGTACAGGCAACAACATGTGCAGAATCAATGAGTATCTCTGCTACAGGTAGTGAAAGCATTTTACCAGGGAGTGCAAATTCAAGTAATGTAACAATGAAAAAATAACACCTCAGAAGTGATTCAAAGTGAAGTGCCCATAACCTAATACCATAGCCATAAGCTATACCAGTTGACTTTGGAGGGTCACAGGAGGTTGAAGCCAATCTTAGCTGACATTTTGCAAAAAGGAGGGGGTTCACTCTTGACAGGTTTCCAGTCAACCACTGTGCTGACATACAGAGACAGAAAACATTTCAGGCTCATTGTTGTAGAGCTGCAAAGAGCAGTAAATGACCCGACATGTATTGTTTGCTTTGGCCTTCGGGATGAAAGCAAACAAAACCCTCTTGTTTAAGGCATCAGTGCTGTGCATCATACCATACTACCCCCATAACCTCAGAAAAAATATAAATATATATATATTTACTCAATATTCATGTGTCATCAAGTTTTCTCTTGTTATCTGGGAACACAGTCTCTTCACAACTGTGCTGCTCACACTGACTGTAATCAGGTTAGACATTTGACAATACCTTTTTTAAGGATTAGCATTTATAGGCACTATAATGAGAAGCTGCTCATAAATTCCTGAGGCAGTTTTAAGTTGCATTTCTCCACAGAAATTGAGTCTTAAATGAAAGGGATAGATAAAAGGCTCTTGTATACAATGGTTTTATTACCCACAAGGGATGCCAGCTTTGCCCTTGTATCGAGAAACCAGGAGGACATGGAAGCTGGGCTGTCTGTTGCTGCAGATGGGGTCAGAGCTTTGCATTCCTGTCAGAAATCAAGTCCACTGTTGGTAGACTGGCCTTGGTATCAGGTCTTTACCGTGTTCCTCAATGAAAGGCTAAACTAACCAGCATCTACTATACTATACTTACTAATGAAACATACCTCATACAAACCCACTTTAAAATAAAAACAACAAGACATCTGTTTAATCAGGTGGCCAGCAACAGAATTCCTCATTATTCTTAATATTGCTTTGTTCTGAATGTGTACAAAAATGACTATAACACTGACATATCAATCCGTGTATCATTTGTCCATTTTGATTTTCAAAATAAAACGAAAAAAATGAGAAAATAATTTTTGGTAACCGGGCCCACAGCTGTGTGTCTGATTTGTGTCCTTTTCTCCTCAGGGTGTTTTGGGCACAGAACCCTCTGACGGACATTTCAGGGCTTTGAGTTTTGCCTTCCTAAAAAAAAGTGCTGTATGAGATCTGAATAATTTTTCTAAGTCCAGCCATAATGCTGAAGCCCATTTCCTGTTCACTTGCGGGTCATGAAACTTTCTTCTGACAAAAAAGTCGAAATCAGACCAAACTGTTGTTCTCTGTTTATCCCATTTGCATTTGAGCTGAAGAAAACGGAAAATGAGCTGTGATCTGTTTTTTCATTTTCATAAATATTTAGAAAACAATTCACTTTCTCATTTTTTCATTTTTGGTTTTATTTTGAAAATCAAATGAACGAATGATACACGGATTCACATCCCTACTTTAACATTAAAGCGCTGATTTGTCAGTATTTTGCTTGAATCTTGGAATTATAATTGGCCTATGTTTTGGATAATGGTCAAACTGGGATTTTAATATCTTAGAGGAAAGCATAAATAAAATTCATTAGCTATATATTTATTTAGATACTTATTAATTTTTTCCTTTGATGAGAAATATAACTCTGGAGTTATTCCAGACTCCACAGTTTTGAGTGTCTTCTTCAATTTTTATTTATATTTTTTTGTGATGTGCATCATAGGATATCATTGTCAATCAACACTCCACCCACTGGTGGTGCAGTTCTTCACTAGTCACCAAATGTAGAGAACCAGTGACAAACAGATCACTCATGCAGGCACACACCTGCATCTTAATGTGTCTGTGAGAATGCCCACACACGTGTTTGTGTGTGCTGTCCTTGTGGCTGAACATGCACATGTCTGCGTGGGTGTGGGTGCGTGCGTGTGTGTGTGTGTGTTTGTGCCTGGTCTAAGCTGGCTTTCCATATTTCTGTAATCTTCTGCTGTATTTCGTTTTCTTTTTATCCCTCTGAAGATTTGTCCCCAACTCCAGCTGTGGCCCCTGATCAGAGCAGTACGTATGGCTGCTTGTAGCCTCTGTAGCACGCAAACATAGAAGTAGTGGTAGAAGTAGTGGCACACAGTGTTGTGGGCCTCTTTGTGTTGTGTTGTGTAGTTTCGTCATCAAAAGCCTGACCTTTCTTGTTGAAGAAACATAGTTTGAGAAATTCCTGAACCCCAGCTCTGGAAAGACAAAACATTTCTATATGAAAACACCCTGTCAGAAAGTGACAATTGCAGTTTGAATTTGCAATTCACATTCATTATTTAGAATCCCTGCCACCTTTTATAGTCTGTTTACTATCACTTGCAGTGTTCTTGCACAGTTACTACCATTAATCTGGTTTTCCCAGTTGCTTTAACAATGCTGCCTTCATGTAGTCTGCAGAGCTGCCTTGTTGCACAGAGTACAGCATAAGACCTGACAGTGTTGTAGCAGGAATCTAACATCTGAGGCTCCTCTTTCCTTTCAGGCCACAACTGCTCTCTTTCCTTTTCCGGCTCCTTCCCCGGCAATTCTACTCATCCCCCTTTAGGTATATAACTCACTCTCACACATGCACATCCAATGATATCACTGTGATCTCATCTTCACCTGCCTCAACTTCCAGCTAACAATGGAATCTGAGACGTGGAGTCTTTTCAATCTATTCTGATATCAGCTCATGGTGGGGGGCGTCAAGAAATGCCAGCTTTGCTTAAGAGAGTGAAGACTAGATGTCACTCCCGCCCACGATCTCTATATCTACCCTTTATGAGCCTAAATCCAGCTCCACTCAATTAAGTCTGGGGCCAAGCGTTGCCTTTTGAACTGTCGTCTTGAAGGGTTTTCTGCAAGCTGCACTGTTCTCAAGCTGCGGGGGAACCTATTTGCCTCTGCTAATCCTCTTTTCCTGCCTTCTATCTGCTTTTCTCTGTGCCTGTCTGTGTTTTTCCTTTCCTCCTTATTTTTTCCTCCTCCTATTTTCTTCCTCTTTTTTTTATCAGTTCCAGTCCTGTTGAACATAAGCTCCTATGTGAGTGACACCTTTGCCAAAATCAGCTGGACTGCCTCAGAGGAACAGCAGGACTCGCAGCTTTATGTGGCTTATATGAATAACCGTAAGCTACTTTTCCTGTCCCCGCCTTAATAAATATTTACATGATTTTTGGGTGTCATCATGTTTAGGTGCGACTGTGAAGGTTTCATATAAACATCTAAAAATATATTGTAAGCTGAACATTAACATAGCTCCTCCATCATTCTCAGATTTCCTTGAAATGTATTAAATATATTCAAAGAAATAAATGCCATTCTGTGAATAACTGCAATAACTTAAGAATCATTTCACACCTGGAAAAACACCTATCCTATCTTTTCCTCTTGATAGCATGGATGCTAATACACACTTGCTGCTTGTGCACTTCCTGTGCTTGACTGTGTAGGTGATGGTAACTGGCGGATTTCAGAGGCTGTAAACACTTCTCAGAATTTCCACATAATCGATGGGCTCAAACCTGGGACGGTGTACACCGTACGCCTAATGGCCAACAGGCTGCTCGATAACTCTAGCTTTTTCGAAGAAGTTATCCAGACAAGAGTCAAAGGTGAGACTAGAGAGCAGTGTTGTGGTCTGTAGAGTTCAGATATTTGAGTTCTAACTTGTCATACTGCAGTAACACTAGAGCATTTTTTACAAAATTGATTTTGATTGTGGTGAATGTGAGAATTAATTTATTTTTCTTGCATTTTTGGGTATATTTTTGTGTGTTTTTTTCCTATCTTATATTCTTTGAAGACACAGAGTGGTATAGCTGAAGGGAATATGAGTCAAACAGGACGTGAGAACATCCTCTCAAACTAGAATCCATCATGTTTTTCTCTTTCAGTCAAATAAAAAGTTGTTTGGGGAGCGCTCGAGGGGACTGTCGTGCTCAAATACACCAAGATGTAAAGTCGAGCTCTGAGCTTTTTGTCTGCGCTGCTTTTGTTTTTGTTCTCAGGTGTGGGAGGGCAGCAGAGTGAGTTCTCGACCCAGGGCTGGTTCATTGGGACAATGTGCGCGGTCGCACTTCTTACCCTCATCGCCCTCATGGCCTGTTTTGTGCGGAGAAACAAAGGTGGCAAGTATGCAGGTACGCCACTGCCTCCCCAGCGACAAGACATGTTCTCCATGGAAAAAGGTCAGTTGGTCTTTGAGCAGGGTTGAGTCCAATTGTTGTTTTCACTTTTGGAGGTGAACAAAAACTCACTACGTGGAATGAACAGGACATTTAAAAGACTCTGATTTAATTTAATTTGAGTTATCTCCAGGATGACCAATTTGTTCTGACTTTAAAGTGATTTCAGATGACCTCCTGAAAACATGAAAATTTTCCGTTGGCCTCAACCCTGACCTCTTTTTCTGCTTGGGAATCTTTCCTGCGTGTTGGAAAACCTCACATGCTAACCCTGCAGAACTCAAGGAATCATTAACCCTAAATCGACTGTCCGTGACATGCATGCAGCACGAGTAAGTTCACTGGCATGTGAGATAATTTGCTTGGCCCAGTTTGTTCCCCTGCTTGGTACCTCTGATTACGCACCCTGTCAAGCCAGATGATTGGGAACCAGCTGGCTTTGTTCCACACCTCCCTCCACCCCTCACCTGTGCAGACCTTCCTGGCTCTCGCTCTGAACCTCTGCTCTGTTTTGAATCAGAGCCAAATTCAGCCCCACAATGAAGCCTGGTGCAAAGTGTGTCCTCGCTGGGTTTCCTTTTCTTTCAACCTGCTTTCCCGCCGTCTCCCCATCACTCCACTTCTTTGCCTGCAGAAGCTTTTGACACGAAGCACTGAATATTTCATCAGCTTCTTTGGATTCCCCCTTTACCCGACCAGCTCTTTTCATGAAACCCCTCTTTTGTCTCTCTTGAAAGCAACTGGTATTTCTAAAAACATATTTACACAAAGAGCCGATGTGTAGCACTTTGTGCAGACATACTGCAGAGAGGCTTTCAGTGTACAGGCTTGATATAATGTTTACACGCTCTTTTCAGTTATAATTTTGGAAGTTAAACTCTTACATAGACTCGAGAGATTCAGAACTTCAGATCAATTATTCCTGCAGCCCTACAAAGCATTAGTGTGGAGTTTGCTTTTGCTCTAGTCTCCAAGAAATGTCTGACAGAAAATCACTGAAGTTGATTAAATCTAGCACAAGGCAGATGCTGCTGTTTGTGTAATTTCCCTTGGTAACTGTTAAAGACAGGATCCTTTATATTTATTTGAATTTGAAGCATTACACTTGATTGTTTGTCCCAACAGTACAAGTAATATGTAATTACATTTATGGATGAAAGGGCTACTCTTGAACAGCAGTGCTAAACTATCTGTCCTGCCTTTCTCTCTCTCTCTCTCTCTCTCTCGCTCTCTTTCTCCCTGTAGTGAAAGAAAAGGAGGACCTCCACCCTGACGTGGAGTCACAAGAAATGAATGATGACACCTTTTGTGAATACAGGTGAGCCGTGTAATTCTGCTCTGCAGAGGAAGGCTGCAGTTCACAAGTATGCTTAGTAAAAAAAAAAACACCTTTTATCTCCTTCAAATGTATTGTTTTGTGGCAATATGAATCTAACCACCATACGTGAAATATTCCCAAGCTGAGAAACTCATTTGTCATGTGTCACTGTGATGTTTTTCTCTCCCATCCCAAAAGAAAACCATGTGTTCATGAGCATTTCCAGGATCAGCCTAGCAGCCAGTGTACTCATCATTTAATGGGCTAGGTAATCACACTGTGTCGTTAAGAGTAGTGGATAACAAAAGCTCATTATTTGTCCCCTTTAGTTTGAATTACGTGCTTTTACTTGAATGTCAGACTGTGATCTGAACATTGGTCATGTAGACATTAATACTTCTTTTGTCCTTTGTCATACTGTGTGTGTGTGTGTGTGTGTGTTCATGTGGTTGTGTTTGCCTCACTGTGATATTGTTTTCTTCTTGTTTTAACCCCCAACCTCACTCCTTAAACTCATCCATTTATCCATCAAGATAATATGCGGCTAAAATTAACGTCGTACAAAGAACAGCGAGGGTTTGGTTTGATAGAAACAGGGGGACTAAAATGAATTATGAAAATGTCTAAGGTATGATCACATTAGCCTTCAGTACATCAATGTTCCTCTCGCCCTCTGCTGTTGAAAGCGATGACATATCACATGTCGAACATGGGTAATAAATACGCACAAATAAACCCTGCAGCAGTGACTCCACAGATGGGATAGGCTTCAAATGAATGTTAGAAAGATGTGGGGTTGTGTGACTGCACTTTGCCACCAAGAAATGTCTCAGACAACAGCTGTAATGTCATTAATAATTCAGACTCAGAGATCAGCTGCCTGCTGAACTCATAAAGGTTATGTTTTAGCCACTTCGACTGTAGAAACATAAATTTTGGCCAACTGGTTGGTGGTGAAAGATGAAATGTTGCTGTCGGATGTTGTTGATGCTGAATAACATTTTGAATGAATGTGTCTGAGGAAGTTCTTGAATACTTTCCACGTTTTAATTGCAATAGAGAAAGCTTCCTCTGCAGATGGCAACATTGATTCTAGATGTACAGTAATGGCTGATAGAAAACATCTTACATTCACTGAAGCAGGCATAAACAAAGCATGGCAAATGGGTGAAAAAAAAAAAAATCAGAGCCTTTAAGCCTGAAGCAGACAGCTGTTGTACTTCATAATAGCTGTTGAATTTCCATTGTTTGCATTGTTTAGCTGCTCAGTGACAGTTTAGGGAAATCGACTGAATCCTATTTTGCTTGACAGCACTGCAGGAACTGCGTGGCAATGGCGTGTTGGTTTGTGCACACGCAACAGAAATCACCTAAAATAGCCTTTTCTGTCTGCTTTGATTCTGCTCGTCATCATATTATTCAGAACATGATTACTCACCATTGTGTGGTTGCTGCCAATTGCAGCCCTGTGGTTCTTGCCAAGACTATAATTCTATTAAACAGGGAAGAATGCATTGTTCTGTTGTAGATTACAGAGTATTTGATAGATCGTAGATTCATTTAAGGATGTAATAAGCTGGTTTTACTGTCCTATACTGACCCTGTGACTAGATTTATGTGCACATATAAAAGGCTTATTGATCAATACCAATGACTCAGTGACTGCCGTAAACATGCTTTGTTTGTTTACAAACAGACTTTCAGAATATGTTTAACAATGATAGAAAGCACTGCTTAATGCCTTGCAATAAATAAATATTACCATACATCAATTATGAGAGGAGTCCCATTATGATTATTATTTAAAATTATTCTCGGTCATAATTGAGGCTCATGTTTCACATGTGTGATGAAACTAATGAATAACAAGGATGCGTTTAAATCCAGTGGTCATTTCTGTTGTGAAGTATTTTATTAACCATGTAAATAATTGAATTCCTTATTTCATATCTATTAATCCTTTTACAGTACAGCTCTTGCATGAGAAGAAGCTGCAGAGATATGAGCCTGTGCAGATGCCTGGCTGCAGCTCTCTGTTTAAAATGCCTCTCATGTTTGGTTTCATGAGGCTGTTCTGACTACTGTCCCCCCAGAGTGCCCTTAGCCGCACTGTGATGTTGTTTTCCTGGCTTTAGAGCTGGATTCAGGGCTCTCTTGTGCCCTTTGAATCTCTGAAGGCAATAGACCACCCACTGGTATGCCACGTGTCTGGGGAGCCGACAAGTGGTAATTATGCTTCAGATGATTTCTCTTTGGAGACGGGTCTCTGCCATCTCGCCCCTCTGTCCACTGCTAGAACAGTAGGTGTCAAAGCTCGGCAGACTCTTAGCCAACAGTGTGATGCAATTTTTTCCCCTAGCTTGTTTATCTGTATATATACCTCCACTCCTCCCCACTCATCTGAGCCTGAATCTTTCACAGTTGTATGTGCAATTCTTAAGATGGCTGCAGATGTGGCAAAGTTTTCTTCCAGACACCGTCAGACCAAAATAAATACAATTTCAGGTGCAATGTTTAGGGGGAGGAGGCTGCTATCTGGAGATTCAATGCTGCCCCCAAACCAAGTCAGTGCGGGTCAATGGCAAGACGGATTTAATTACATTCTGCCCAGCGATGTGCCTCTATCGCTTACCTGTTTGTGAGGCATGAGGAAAGCCTTTTTCCAGCAACAGCTGAGTCTGAACTGGATCTTGACCAGCGACTTGAATGAGAGCTGGGGCTCAAAGCACTCAGCCCCATTTTATCACCATATTCAAAGTCACTGTGGGTGGGCTGCGGCAGCTCTGAGATAACAGCCACTTATCTTCAGCGCTCTAGAGTCGTCAGAGAAAGAAGGTTTGATAAGAGTTGAAATGCGGACCTTATGTGGCTTGCATGGTAAACGCCCTCATGAAATAGAACAGATAAGATTGGTTATTAAAAATCCCTGTGAAGGAGACCTGATTTGTAATCTTTGCTAGAGTCGTGCCTGTGCGCCGAAACGCTCCTCAAAATGTCGAGCTTGTTTTATTTGACACAGGTGTCAACTACAGTACGCCTCAAATGGCACTATCATATAGCAGCCAGCAAAGCGTCGTCTCTGAACGCAGACAGTCTGTGTTATGAATACTAAACCAAAGGAGGGAAAAAGAAAGAGAGAGAGAGAGAAAGAAAGGTGTTACCTAACATGGAAGGTTTGGGGAATTAGAAAAGGGGACAGGGAGGAAAAATATCCTCAGTGTTTTGAGGTGACCCTGCGTCTTGTAGCGAGACACCTGCAAGTTGGCCACTTGCCCAGCGTTAAATTGGCATCTAATCTCCTTGGCCTGCGTGTGGGCCCCTGGGGAATACCAGGAATGACAGGCTGTTTGTCTGGGATTGCATATGGCCCACCTCCTCCCTCCCTCTTTCTCAATCTCAGCCCCTTCCCCACACATACACACACTCATAAAAACACACACAAACATACCTCCCACCCGACTTCTTTCTCACTGCACTCTGGCAATTTCCATCGCTGGTTCTAAAGAGATTTGAAATTGCCTTTGGTCCTGAAGCCTTGGCAATTAGCAATTAGTGGAGTGATTGTAGCAAGCCCTCCCCGCCTCCCTTGTGCTTCCTTTTTGACTGTGCAGCCGCTGCATCCTCCCCCTGCCTGCCTGCCGCCTGTAGTAATATATTACATGTATGTGTGTGTGTTAGTGCAGCCGAGGATTTAATAGTCTATGTGCTCTTTACAGGCCGGTGGTTGCGTGTGTAGCTTTTGGTTATTTGTGATATTTGTTGTGTGTCAAAGACAGCCTCTTAGAGCTATGTATGTTGCATCAGAACATCTGCCTGGCTTTTTATACGATGTGTTTGTTTATGCACTGCACTGCTGACCCTGGCCATCCTTCTCTGTTCCCGTTGATGGCAGTGACAGCGAGGAGAAGCCACTGAAGGGCAGCAGCTTGTGTTCCCTGAATGGAGATGACACGGCAGGGGACAGCGTCAGCAGAGACAGCCTGGTTGACTACGCAGACGGTGGAGGAGAATTCAATGAGGACGGTTCATTTATTGGAGAATATTCCGGACACAAGCACGGCGGCTCTGTTAGTGAGCCCAGCAGACCCGGCCCAGTCACTGCATAAAGCTGGGCTCCGGTTGAAATGGTCTGCTTCAAATCCTTTCAAGATACTTTTCAAATTCAGCTTCCCTGGCATTAAGAGCAGCTGGAATAGCCAAATAAGAGGGAATAAAAATGACTCGAATGTGCAGAAGTTTTTACAACAGGCAGAACTTTGCCCAAGGACTGGGAAGAAATAATACACCCACCATAAACAGCAGTGTGAGTACTGTGTGTGTGTGTGTGTCTGTGTACATACTGTGAGAGAATGATGTGTATTATATGAGTGTTTTATGATTTTATTACAATAAAGTATTTTTTGTACCTATCACAGATATAATCACCTCTTACAAAGTGGGCAGAACAGTTTTCCACAGCATTAATGATACGACAGTTACACAGCTTGTGTACCTAAATTTTTTTACACTGCTGATCAAATAAAAAGTATACCAGCAACTTCTTACAGTGCAAACCATTAAACCAGTCATCTATCACACAGGGCAGAATGTGTATGTTACTGTAAAATGCAATATCATGAAAGCGAAACAATGCAAGATTCATGTATTTCTTTAACTGTAAATATTTTTGAATTTTTAAGGACAATAACTTAATAAGAATGTAAATGTTTGTACCTTTTTCATTCATATTTTTAAAAATTTTGTCAGGAATCAATAACATAAAGGTTATAAGAACACAAGAACAAGTCTGGTATCAAACATAACCACGCCTTTGTTGGTAAGTGGAAGTACTGCAGAAAGACATGTATAAATGTTTGCAGGGAAACTTAGCAGGAAGTTATCAGCTGTATTTATCTCTGGGATGTAATCATAAATACATTTTTACATTTTGTGTTGGGGTCTTGTCTCACCAGTGTTCTGAAAAGTGGAAAAAAATCTTCAAGTTTTCACACAAAGAATCTTATACATCACCTTGACAGTTGTCTTTGCAACAAGATGAACTGAGGTAATATGAAGCAGCAGCTGCTGCATCTACAGGCAGCAGTAAAACAAATGCTGTGGTGCTGACTCAACAGGGGTTTGAGGACTGCAGAAAGAAACCAGATCCTACCCAAAGATAAAACAATAACTGACAAAATGTGCTTTGACTAAAAACACACAAAACTATTAGTGCAGGGACTTCTCTTGAAGGAATAAAAAAAGGTTCCTGTAGCCCACTGTTGTCTGAAGTCCTGGGTCAGCGATGCAAATTAGGCCAATGGTATTCCCAGACTGTATTTGGAGATGAAGTTACTCACACAGCTCTTCACTCGTCTTTTTTTTTAATTTACAAAAAGCTGTTACAAATCTCGACAGCAGGTAGGCTGTATTTGCTCTTTGAATAACATCTGGTTATTATAAATATCTGCTCTTGTACCATTGCTCTTTGGTGCTTCTACTTGTTCAACTCCCTCTCTACTTTGCTGGTGTCAGTGTGTGTAAATTGTACACCAGCTATAAAGTAAACAAGATTGTTTCCTAACAATAATAACCACCGAAGCTGCTTTCACACCAAACACAAATAAAATCATTTACTTGCTTTGTATGTGAAAATCTGGATGCCTGAATGTTCTGTGTTTACTCACTTAATTCGCGTGATTGACTCACTCAGGGTGACGGCAAACTGTCTTGACTGGTTTATCTTCCTTTTTCCATATAAATAAACTTACGCCAGTCCACTTGTTGACGTACGTCACCAGGGAATCTCCATGCAGATTGGTTATCCCTGTGCGGATAATATGCTTGAGTTTAGATTTTTAATTCTTGTGAACTGGCATATGAAGTGTGGAGCATGTTTGATTTTCACCATCTGTGTGTTCCATTATTTCCACTCAATTTTCACTATCTGCTCCATCCTAATTGTGTTGTTTGTGTGGCATGACAAGAACTCGCAACTAATTGTGTCTTTACACTAACTTGACAAGACACATGCATCTGGTGTGAACGCATCATAAAATTGCTCCAATAGCATCCTCCTGAGATGGAAAAAAATGTACATAAACAGTCAAATTAATCATATACATAGTTTTACTGATCAGGTAGCATTATGTAGGATACAGTCCCTCCTGTATGTGTTTGTATGTGTGTGTTTTCAGTGCCAGTATTTTTAAATGTAAATTAACGATTTTTTTTTTTTTCAAAGTAAATGAAATCTTTGCCTCCTAGAGTCGTCTGGACCACTGGGAATGACTAACCCCTGAACAGGGGCTTTTAGGGGGATACATTTTTTACCTCAGAACTAAATTTAGACCCTAGTTCCTGTGGTTGAAACCTATATAGTTTTAAAGAAGAAGAAATTTATTGATCCTCGTGGAAGACCAAGGATCTTACAGAATAATGTTGATTTTGGGGTTTTATCCTGAGATACTGACACTTTTTCAGACGTACGCCTACCTGCCCTTTATGAAGTGATCTCTACACCTGTCCGCAGTTTGATTGACAACATCTGTGACATACCTCTTACCATTGACAAAGATTTCTGACGGCCCAGTGAAGAAGTGTAGCTTGCCAGACCATTGACAGGAATAAGACTTGTACACAGTAAATGCTTTTTTCCATGCTTAGGAGTGCTACAACTTACTGTTAAAAAAAAAAAAATATGATGATGATGATGATGGAGGGGTCAAAAGTGTCCTTTTGTGCAGAACAAAAGTGAATTCAGTTAGACCTGGTAAGTAAAGAATATTATTAAACACGCAACTCTCTTGCCCTCAGGTTTGCATAAACTACACATTCGAGGAAAAATCCATGCTGCGCATAAACAGAAGTATTCTCAACTGCTACTTCTGAATGAATTTTTTATTTTAAGCTTTCAGGAGCTCCAAAGACTGAAAGTAAAGAGATTTTCATGCTCTTATAAATGGTTCGAGGCTGCATCATGCACCTCCAAACTGTGGGGTATCACAGTGTGAATCATTCTATATCCTTTAAAAAGATGAGACTGCTGTGCTATTACTAATCTCGAAATTGTTCATGGTGAGCCTTCCTTTCTTATCCTTTTGAAAACTTGGTGCAATGATTCATCAGTTTCTATCTGCTGTCCTTTTTCCCTAATTCAAAAAGTGCCCACTTACATGGTCAGGTCACAAGTTGAGATGTTTTCCGCTGGACATGGAACACTGATTCATTTGAAGAGAAAAAATGTAGTCCTTGGTGCTCAGCTATTTTCTAATTTATTCCACAATTTTTGTTTTCATAAACTATGCACACAGTGTTAATGGAATGAAACAAACATGGTTGAATTAAGCCTGATATTCTCAAAGGTCAAACACTCTTCAAATACCCCAAAATATTTTTCTGTTATCTCCGCAACACATGCAGTGAAACCTCACATGCATAATACATGTTGCTAAAATATTCATCAAGGATATAACTGAAATAAAGTCTGGATTGGACCTGTTCAACAATCCCACTTAAACAGATGTAGAGCAGGATGGAGCGCGGGGAGAAAATACTAAATGTTTTATTGGAAAGAGGCGTATCGTTTCATGTTTACTGTTTTTCAACTGGCTTTTTACTGTAAATTCAAAGTCTTCTGTGGGTCATAAAGAAAACAAGGAGATCCAGTCAGTTTTTGTGTAGCTTTGTGGGAAATAATGGAAGTTTTAACCCCAAACCAAAAAGAGCAAAAGCATTGTGAGGAAAAAGTTGAATACTGAAATATAATCAACATTGTTGACAGTATTTCTGCTCTCTGTGGGAAATGTCTTTACCATTACTTGGTGTGGATAATTGGAGCTTTGGGACTAAACTCCAATTATCTGAACCAAAAGCAGTGCTCACTCTCACCTTCAGACTGTGATGGGAAAATATAGCACCTTTGATGAGGCAGATATACGACTAACGAAGATGGGAGATGATAGACTCATCCGTCATTTGGCAGGAGCCTCTTTAAATCCCTCTAAAACAGCCTTGCTACCCCTCTGACTCACTCCAGGATTTCTGAGCTTTACAACACAGAAGCTCAAGAGGTTCAGTGAGAAGATTTATTTTTATATCACATTTGGGAGACTCCTGAAGGAACCAAAAAATTAACATTTCTTCCTAAAAATATGTTAAATGTGATTTCAAAGATAGGAACATGCATTAATTAGAGAAAACGATCTGACACAGTTTGAGACATTACTGGAAAAACATCTCTTGTTACAGCTTTGCTCAAATCCCACACTGTCAGTCATGACTTCCTATGCAGCCTATCTCTTAAAGTCTTCCGAGGGTCTTATCTTGCATTTTAAATTCACATCTGCTGCAGCTGTATAGCCTGTCTATAACCAGCTGATTGTAAATAGGCCTTGTAGCCGTAATCAAACCAGACTTGGGATAGTGGAGTTGAAAAGCACTCCATGCCTCATGGCAAGATAAAGGTCATTTAAAGAGATAATCCCTGTATTGTCGAGGATTACGTCCTCATCCGTTTTAAAATTGCTTTCTCGGTGGAACGTTAAAACCTCTAAACAACAACAAAAGATTACTCCAGTCAAAGCTCCCCTGAGTGTCACACAAGCAGCTCTGCTAAATCTATTTTGAGGACATGCAGGTGACCCTTTAGAAAAGTCTTAATAGCTCTGTTTATGAATGAGCAGAGGTCAGGATGTTAACACCAGCAGAGTCTTCAGTTCGTTGCAGATGCTTTGCTTATGGTTTCATTGGTAACTGCTGCACACTCACAGAAAAAAAACCCCTAACAGATCCCGGCTCAGGGAGGATCACTCCTCTTCAGTCGATTTGATCGGTGCTGATATTTAGGCTAAGTGCCCTGGAAATTGCCTGGTTGGAGGGAATCGATAGCACACGCTGTGAGTTCAGCCCAGTGACCACCGCGGTAAACCAACTGAAGACACTGCAAGGACGAGACACTGAGTAAAAATTGTAGCACAGGGAGAAGATTTGCAGTTTGCTCAGGGTGCGAGATATTGAGTTTACGCTAGCCTGGTAAAGAAAGAGGTAACATGATGGCCATGAAGATCTCATCAATAATGAATGCTAGTCGGGTTCACAGAGAGGGGAACTGTGACAGGTGTTGTGGAAGATGCTCTTGTGGAAGACCTTCCTTTTTTTGAAGGAATGCAGTTAAAGCATTTGCAAAGGAATTGGTATCAGAGTTAAAGCAATGTCACCACTTCCTTTTTAAGGGAACAAACAGGCAGGCCTATTGAGAGCAACACATGCAAAAACCCCTCTCTCAAGGACAAGCTGCGAGCACTTTACCAGAGGAAGGGGTTAAGGGTGGGTGGAGAAAATGGGGGCCGAGGATTGAAGGTTATCCGACTGCACGCTCTTCATTCAGCAACATTGCGGATGAAGAGGAGGAGCTGAGAAAGTCAGCGCATAACCTTGACACACAATCAGAATGACAGCGTTTTATCTTGCATATTCTTCCAATGGCCTTCGCTTCTTTGTCTGCATTTATTAAAGTGGATGTGGGATGAGTGCTCAGGCTTACCTTTTTATTGAAACCTAGAGCAGACTAACAATAAGAAGACGCAGCTGCTGAGCAAGACTTCAATGTCTAGACGAGCATTCAGGAGTTATTGGAAAAGTCTAAAATGTGTTTTTTCTCTGCCTCTTTCTCAGTCTCCTCAACCTGTTACTTTTATTGATTCCACTTTTAAAAATGTAATCACTCTAAATGCATCAATATCTGTAATAAAATTTGTCCCGGTCACAGTAACACTGCAAAGAACTCCCATTTAATTTTAGTCTGAGCCCCCCCCCTCCCCCATTTCTCCTTTTGTCATCTCAACATGGTGCTAAACTCACCTTCTGCCGAAATTTAATTTGTCTCACTAGAATGCAAATGAAATGGGATGATTCTGCATACAGAGAATCCTTTTAGAGGGCTATTATTTCCCTGGTAAACTGCTTTAGATGCAAGCCCAGACACTCTCAAATGCCAGCCAGCAATTGAGTGGATGTTTGTGCGGGTGTGTGTGTGAGGGTAAGGGTGTGTGTGTCTGAGAGAGAGAGAGAGAGAGAGGGGTATGAGTAGAGCAGGAGGATACAGAGACACTCAGCCATGGCAGAAACTAATGAGACATGCACTGGTAATATGATTACAAAGTCAGCCCGGTTATGTCAAAGACGGGGGGTGAGTCGGGGGGGCTTCGGTGACATCTGCACAGGACAAAGTGGACACTGGGATACTCACTTGTTCTGCGTCTGCAGGACATTGCCGTGCCTATAAATGAGTGACACTTTGTGCAGACGATGCTCTATGCTGACAACACAGGTTAACACAATATAACACAATATCGTATAATGAACCGTGATTTGAAGCCGCTCAGGTGTGCGCATCATTTGGGGCCTTTTGAGGTCAAATTGTCCTGAGTTTGATCCAGGGAAGGATTTCTCCTCGACTACTGCTGGAGGATTAGATAAGAGGCTTGTAAGTGCTGTGTGGGTGGTGAATAATTCTCACCTTCCTTTCTTAGCCCAGGGCTGTCAAAGCAACAACTTGGCACCAGCCACAATCCATACACAATGTGTAAGTCTGCTCAAAGTCTCAGCAACTGAGGGAAAATAAGAGGAAGATGGCATCCTTAAACCTGCACACTGAAACAGTGTGATCAAAATGACTCTCACCTGCTCACCTGAAGTGATGTTCAGATGTTTATTTTTAGCTCATCAAAATCCTCCTTAATAATAATTCAATTGGTCTATTTTAGAAGTGTCAGAATACAAAGTGCGCCAGACTGTGTTCTTTTTCTTCTTTCACTTTGTCGGCAGTGATCAGACTCAGCTCCCCTCA